GCCCTTGTCAGGCCCTCCGTCCTGCATCACTGACAAGGGGGAACCACGCTTAATGATTCCTCATACCGCCGACTATTTTACGGTTGTTGTTTTTTTTGTTTTTTTTATAAAAAAGAATACAACAAGAATGTTATTTTTTATTTGCGGTGTAATCACGTACAACTGTCGAAAAACATTCATATATATTTTAAAGAATATGGAAGGGTAAATAAAAAAATATCAACATTGTTTCAGCTACTGGTTATAAATAAATAACATTTTAGGCCTATCTTCTATTAGTGCGAGGGTTAGGGTTAGGGTTGTCGACCATATTTTTATATAATAAAATCTATATTTTTATCAAACTCTCTGTATTTAACCAAATCTATTTATTTGTCACTAATAATTTAATTAATTTTATATAGTCGGCGGTAACAAGGAATCATTAAGCATTTAGTCTGCGGTAACAAGTATTTGGTCGGCGGTAATTATATTACGGTTGAAAGTCATTACAATGCGGTTGGTGGTAAAAAAAGTATTTGGTCGGCGGTAATTTCACGAAGGTCGGCGTTAAAAGTATTGGTCGGCGGTAGTCGGCGGTGGTCGGCGGTAAAAAGTACCACCCGGAATTCCATACGTCATATTATCAACACAGGAATTCCATACGTCATATTATCAACACAGGAATTCCATACGTAATAATAAAAACAAAAGCACGTGGCTCGACGCAAATATATATATATATATGTGGCCGTGTGTATTGTCCCTTTAAAATTTTGCTTACGTGCTATAATGTTACTTGTATTCTTACATGAGATCTATTTATAGCACAGCTAGTAGTGGTCTGACTGGCGTTGCCTGAGTCAGTGAGAGAGCGAGAATTAGAGCTAACAGTCAACACAATTGCTGCGCTGTCAAATCAATGTTCTGGAACCGCGTGGTGAATAAAGATAGTTTTAAAGAAAATTAAACTTGCCACATATATAGTATAGACTAAGGGTATACGTTAATAGGCCTTGTTTATCTGCGTATCATTGCGCATATCCTTATTTCAATAAGAATAAGAGCATTCATAACCGGTATTAGAGTTGGGCGATGTGAAAATTTTTCACATCACGATATTTTTAAAATTATATCACGATACCTACACATATCGCGATATTTTACCTTAACTAAATAAAAACTAAAAAGGATCGTTTCATTCTTAATATACATGTATATATGTCTGTTATATAATAAAAGTATTTATTAACATAGAGAATATTATTTATTCCATGCCCTGTTAAAAATAGTGTTTGAATTGCCAAATTCAGCAAGCATTGTATTTACAAGTAGACATAGAATTGCCCTTTGCTGCCACTAAGGTAGAGTAGAAATTCCTTTTTGGGACTGGTTCAATGCTCTAAATTCCCTTCTGCACAATTTATAGAAAGACAGAACAGTATACAGAGTATGACAGATTTATTACAAGCATGAAAGTAATATTACACTAATTTGGATACAATATATCACCTGGATTTACTTTTAACAATTTACAAACAAATGAAACTAAAAGTAATAAGGCAGACAATTTGTCTACGAAGACTAAAGCATGGCCGCGTACGTATGGAGTTCGGAATTTTATTTCAGATTTTTAGCGAGAAAAACTAACATGTTAACTTTGTCTGGGTTAAGTCGGGTTCCCTTACAAGTGACTATGTTGCCACTTGTGCTAAAGAGCCTTTCTGATGCACAACTTGTTGCTGGAACACACAAGAATTTTCTAGCTACATTGGCTATCTTGGGGAACTGGATTGCAGTCTGCTTCCACCAAAGCAATGGATCCGATTCATACTCTAAATGGGGAAGTGAGAGGTAGTGATTTATTTCTCTATCTATTAACTGGTCTTCTGACAAGTTGAAACTACTATTAGAATCATTTACTCCACCGTCTTCATGTTGTCTTAAAAGTTTTGCCAATTTAAACTTTTTGTTGGAGCTTGGTTCAGATAGGTCATGGTTAGGAACAACTAGATTAAAATGAAGCTCACTATATTCACTTGTAAGCACAATTTGTTCTTTTAATTTGGTATGGACAGAAGCATCCTCTCCATCCTTTAAATATTTGACTTTGAAGCGTGGATCGACAAATGTGGCAATATTAAGTAACATTCGTGAAGTAGCATCTGAATATTTTTCATTCAGATATATATTTCAAAATTTGGGTTTTAGTATCTGTAGTGAGTTGGCTATCACCAGGCTTTTCAATCAGTGTGGTATTATTTAGCATATGCAGAACTGGGATATGCTAACATACTCTTCGCTGCCTAGGACATCAGTAAATTCTGCAACTGGTTCCAATGCTTTCACAACACTCTCTAAAATTTCAATATCCTGCCACTTTGGTATTAGACTAGAACTTTTTCGATCTGCTGAAAGTACTGCAGTTACAGCCTTTTCTTGTTCTATATATCTTGAAATCATTTTGTACATGGAGCCCCATCTTGTGTCACAAGCAATTTTTAAAGAGTGTGTTAGAAGAAGTAGCTGATTCTGCAATTTGAACAATTCTCTTTTCTTTTTCCAGCTAAACGAAAAAGCAGACACCACTTTCTTACATACTGCCACTGCTCTTTCAATTCTATTATCTTTCAAGCCATTATTAATAGCTAAATGGAGGCGGTGTCCAAAACATTGAAGACGGGTCCAGGAGTTCAATTCAGTAGCTTTAATAATGTTTGAACCATTGTCAGTTGTTAAACAAACAAGAAAGTCTTCCTCAAGACCCCAGTCATCTAATGTATCTTTCAATCCACTTGATAAATTTTCGCCAGTATGATCTGCAGGGAAAAACATTGTTAGAAGATGCCTTGTTTGTAAGTTCCATAATTTATCAATGTAATGTAGAGTAAAAGACATGAACGGTTCCATTTGAGAACTGGACCAGAGATCCGTGGTTGCAGAAAAGTAGGGTGACCCACCATAAATAAATATCTCCATATATTTCGACAATTACGCCACAATATTTATATATATGCCAAGCCTCAAATCAGTTTCACACAATTATAGTCACTAAATAAACGATCATGTTGTACTTAATAAGCTATGACCATTAATCATGTATAAATAATAGACTGAAAACTGGTTCCAAGAGTCGTCCATAACATCCAGATACTTTTGAGTAAAAGATAGGTTACGTGCCCTTGTTTTGAAATTAGTCTCGCTTAACCAGTCTATCGACCATTCTACGTCTGATTGACAGGTCGGGATAATCAAGACTACTTTTTTTACGAAACGTAACAGAAAGCTAGAACAAGAAATTGAATTTAGAAATAAGCACGTTAGGTAGCCCAACAATCGTTTTAAGACGCTTGTAAAAGTAAAATGAAACTACTGCTAGTATCATGTTCCTGCCTAACCCGAGTGATTCAGAGATATTATTTGTACTAAACCAAAAGATGCCGCTCTTAACGGTACAGTTAATGATAAAGCGATTTAAAAAATGAAACGAACGTAATTTCTAAATCTGCTGTAATAACCAAGAAGCTTAATTTAACTGCTATTCAAAATCGTCAACAATAAATTTTTTACGGCTGTAATAGTTGATAGATTTGTAGAGAATTGCACGTGCCATGGCTATTTATAGTATCATACTGTCAGTATCGGCACAGCGAATGTGCACGCTTCAGTGGTAGTCTCGAACTATCAGCGGTGGACTGTATTTCTGAGAGTACATGGGTCACCCTAAGAAAAGTACTGAAAATCCTGGATGTCTTTTAAAACTTCCTGTTCTTCTTCCGTTTATGCAGAGACATGGGCCTGGACTAACGTTTCAACAAGACAATGCTCGACCCCATATAGCAATTGCTACCCAGAATTTTTTTAAGATATGCCGGTGTCCAAGTTCTGGATTGGCCGTCGCTTAGCCCCGACCTTAATCCTATTGAACACATCTGGGACGAACTGGGTCGACGTGTTCGTCAGCAAGTGAATCCACCAGACGTTGCAGGACCTTCAACATGCTCTAGCTGGCTGAGCAGTGGCGACGTCTTCCTCGGGTAGTGTTTACTAATGTTCTGAGATCCATGAGAAGACGTTGTGTGGCAGTACGAGACGCTAGAGAAGGCCACAACCGTTACTAAACACTTTATTCCGATTGTTTTCCAAGTCTGTGAATTTCATTTTGGGGGGTACTGTGACATCACGAACGTTATCAATGTCAAGGACTTTCAGCGAGACGTATTCTTGCTTTCTGTTGATGTCAAGGTCGTCTGTGCACAACATAACACTAAAATAGTTGCCTTAAACCAAATATTACAAATCTAGTCCCAAAAATCCCGAGTGTCAAGTTTTTAATTTGGCTGAGTATAGATTGGAAGCATACCCTTTACTATAAATCTCGTAACTGATTCAGTAAGCGATTGCCATCGTTTACTGTTTTTGTTATATTTGCAGGTGTCCAAAATTGTTGTCTGATTCTGATTGGTTGCCTGTAATTTGGTTGTTGAGCTTAATAAACTAGCTGAAGTTGGACTTGGGGTTGTAGATTTTGATCTTGACCTAACCAATTTTGGTGATGGAGGGTACAACAGGCCCACTTCTTCTTTAGATTTGGCGTATTCAGCTGGATGTTTGTTTTTCAAATGTAGAAATAAATTTGTTGTATTGCCACCCTTTGCTGCAACTGGCTTCCTGCAGAATCGACAAATGTGATCAACTTGAGATTTATCGGTTTTGTACCCAAAAAATAGTCAAATATCACTCGTCAGATTTTTTTTTTGGCGGAACCAGGTTGTCCTCTGACTCTATGTCTAGGTCTAGACCTGTTCTTAATCTTAATTCAGATGTAGGCTTACCGGTGTTCATCTTACAAAATGTTAAATTGATTTAATATTATAAAAAACGTGTTCACTGGTTACTACTTTAGTTTTACACACCGACTGAAATGAGCGTGTGCTACCGTTGTTATGGTGACGATGCGGCATAAATCGTCTTGAATAGCTCGCTAAAGTAATATAGTGATTCTAAATAAGTCCTTATAATCCCGACAACGCAAAGCGGAAATCCTTCAATGTACACGTATGATTGAAAGCGAAAGTTGAGTTCAGACTCGATATTTCGGTATTAAGTGCGTAATATCGGCGATATCATAAACGGTTTTATCATGGTGATATACCGGTTTCGGATTTTTCCTACATCGTATCGTCCGTTTTGAGATCCAAACCGGTGTTTTCGGTAATATCGAATTATCGCCCAACTCTAACCGGTATACTTAGGCCAAGTTAGGCTACATGCAGGTGGGTGTAAAGATTAATCGGGTTCTCATTTTTTTTGTGTGTGTCTGTATGTCATTTACAGCCTACAATGCTTAATCGATCGTCTTGAAAACTATTTTATACCTATTCCTTATACCCTAAGGCTGACCTCTATTATTTTTGGTGTATGACCGACCCCCTGGGACAGATTCACACCCAATGTTTGTGTGTCTTTTGTTTCGCCTATTGATATTGTGATTTCAATAACAGGATGGTACCTATTTATATTGTTGAAATTGTTCCTTGTCCAACCCTCAGGAGCAGAGCCACACCCAATTTTTGTATGTGTCTACAGGCTGCAATTCTGAATGGATCATCTTGGAACTTTGCAACTATTTATTTTAGTGCTTGCCCCGACCTCCTGGGGCAGTGTCACACACACTTTTTTTTAATATTTTGTCTGTAAATTTCGCAAAACAAACCCAACGCCTAGCCTTCTTTGCCTCTTGTCATAGTACAGCGATTTCATATTTCATTCTCTTCATTTTAAAAAGTACCATATCAATCAAAACTGGAATGTGGACGTATATTGCAGGGTTAGCGATGCTCTTGTTTAAAATGTCACATACGTGTCTTCTGGTATCTCGCGCTGTATCATAAAGTCTGTCATTGAGTCAACTTGCGAGGTTTCGATTCCCCGGTTGTACGTGACAAGGACAAGGTGTAGGGTCGCCTGTCCAACCTCGTGGGTTTTCTCCGGTTTCCTCCCACTGCTAAAGACCTTTACGCGCAAGCGAATTATTGAAATAAAATTAAATCCATATGTTAGTCCCGAAATGACCTAGTTTGTGTCGAATGGACTTAAACCCCATTTCTCTCTCTCTCTCTTCTGGTATCTAATTATATTCAAAGGCAATTATATGCCCCTTCTAATTCGTAGTTGTCATTGTTAGGAATTACATGTTATAGTCAAACATCGGCTATTTCTGGTAAATTTCAAACTATCTGACGACTAAGACACAGAATTACCTACGTCGAAGGGCGCTCTGTAATCACTAGCAGTAGCATATCTAGAAGCTGTGAATGGGGGGGGGGCCAAATCTAGGGCGCCATCCACGGCTCCAGGACAATTCGTCCCCGGACTATTCGTCCCAATTGACTATTTGTCCCAAGACAATTTCTCCCTGAACAACAATACTGGTCGTTCCATTATCAAAAACTGAATTAATCTTTACTTTTTATCCTAAATCTCAGTTTTGATTCTAGTGTTTTACATCGTTTTACATTTAGTATTAAATCTAGGCCTTAACTTAATGGTTCATGAAGTTTTTTCGGGCTAATTGATATGCATGTAGTAATCAGCTACATGATCAGTGACACCTTTTGTGGGTTAGAGAATCTTTATTGTGTATGATAAAACAATAATAAAATCTTGAGTCATGACGTAACGTTATGTAAACATATTTGGTCCAATTTGGAGTTCTGTTTAAAGCGTAATGACATTGTTATGCAGTTAGCTATTGGTTGTTAATCGGTTATTTCTGACTTTGTATAAAAGTCTGTATGACTACTGGTAGTTTACTGCTTGATCTTTTACTATGCGGGGGCTATGCAGAATTCCAGGGGCTTCTGTGTACCTCCTGATCCTCCCGCAAAAAATAAATATTCACATTCCCAACTATGTCATTTTTAAAACTTATGCATTTGGATTTTTGTTATCTTTTTAGGTATGCCCCGATTAAATAATCTTATCATCCTAATCCTTGCAGTAATTTTTCCCATCGTTTCCAGGTATTCCCAAACTAAGGTAAGCTAATAAACAACATTTGAAATAATCTGTCCCATGTACACATCGGCATGCACGTAATTCGATATAAGTTGGAATTCGATATAAGAGTAGGCCGTAGCGCCGCTGCCCCGGCAAAATTTCTCTCATAGCACATTGTATGGCGTTTGCCAGTCTTCATTAGCCCAGGTTAGGAGCAGAACAGTAGGACGTTAAACGCCATTTCATTTTCGAAATAATCCAATTATAACTTATGCTTCGTTATATTCTTGACACCTAATAACTGAGAAGAAAAGTCACCAATTTTATAACAAAAACACTTGTGATTGTTTAATCACTAGTGCTGATATCAAGTATCGATGCATCGCCCACGAGCAATAGAGAATGTACTTCATAAATCTCTATATAGACCGTATAGCCAACACCCCTCACGCTAACGAGTGTCAATTGAAGTGAATTGCCATCGGACGATATTAATGTCACAGCGCTCGAAATTAACCACGGCAAACGGCAAAACCGTGGTAAAAGCCGACGCAACCCCCGTCAGCCACGGCATAATTCATATTTTTTTGCCGTGGTAGATCTTATGAACCTAATAATGACTAAATGTACCGGTTATAGGATAGTACCAGGAGGATGTCGTCATATATTTGTTTATCATTTTGACGAACATCTGACAAATATATTGTAATTATCGAATACCGGTACACTTTTAACTCATGTGCTGTAGGCATATCCATGCTTTACCGTTACAGTGGTGTTATTTTCAACGATTATAAACTAAAATAGACATAGAGTGCATGGACTGTTGCCTAGTTACCATTCTCGTCATTTGTATTTTTAACTGTATATCGTTTGTCACATACGAAGGACCTGGACCGATTCACACCCTTTGTTTATAATTACTACCCCGTATGTAACGGAGCGTAAAAATTCATAATATTTATTTTATTGCTATCCTTTCAAACCAAAATTACATAAAATAGATCTGTTTTAGCGTTGTAACAACAATATGCCAAACAAACAATAAATTTTAAATTCATTTCTCGAACTTTTCGCGCGTATGGACACACATAACTTACTTCCTCCACTCTTTTTGACACTCGTCTGGCATCGATGCCGTCTCACTCTTAATTCTCATCAGTTTTTATTCCATAAATAATGGGGATTAGAAAAAAAATCGTCGATAACTGGAAACTAGATAGCATTGGTTGTGAGTTAGAATCCAACAACAGTAATTTTTGAATAACAAAATGGCGGCAAAAAATTCCTGATGCATCGATGCGAGTATCGATGTTTGCGTCCGATGCATTGATGCGTAAAATTTTACTTGATATCAGCACTATTATTCACCATGCATATTTATTAATGAATGAATTAGAAATGAAATGAGGTTTAACGTCCTGCTGTTCTACTCCGACTGGGCTAATGAAGGCGGGCATACACCATACAGTGTGCTATGAGGGAAATTTTACCTGGACAGCGGCACTCCGGCCTACTCTTATATTGAATTCCAACTGTAAAGGGATCTTTTACATGCTTGTCAACATGTACACAGGACCTCGGTTGTTTGTCCCATCCGAATGACTAGACAGCTGTCCTTGTCAGGACCTCTGGAATTAATTAGAACCCATATACATTACCTATCATTGCAATCGACAAATGAAGACGTTTTAATTTATGTCGACACAAAGCAGGTCATTTCGGGACTAACATATGGTTTAATTTTATTTCAATAATTCGCTTCAGCGTAGGGGTCTTTAGCAGTGCGTGGAAACCGGAGTACCTGGAGAAAACCCACAAGGTTGGACAGACGACCCTACTCCTTGCCACAGACAACCGGGGATTCAAAACCACGCCAATTGACTCAATGACAGGCCTTTTTATGATACAGCGCACACATGCTAACCATTTGGCCACCCAACCCCCTGGGGTAAAAGCAAGATCTGTGATATTGCATTTTACATTTAAAGCGGAAATTGCAAATTTTCAAGTTATATTTTTAAAATGTATTAAAATAAAAGCCTTAAAATAGATGGTATCCATAAACAGTCCTACCTTGTTAAAGAATAACCCTATTAATCCTATAATTCGCTATTGCCAGCTGAGAAATTGGCAAAAATATCATTTTTAACTTCAAATTCCAACGTTGGAAAATGGCTGCCCCATGTTGTCAATAGCAAAACAGGGGAGGTAATTGTGTTATTTCCTGTGTCATAGATTTTTAAGGATGGGAAATAATGCCCATGATCGTATAATAGTGATTTGATAACCTATTGAGCAAAAGACATAGAAATAATTATGTTTTGACTTTCTTAGAAAATTTGAAATTCTCGCTTTAAGCTAGTATTTGTTATAATAATATTAAAATATCTTGGTGTTTTTAGGATAGAACTTTCCAAGCACAAGATGGGAAATATTGTCGTCTATGTCCTCCAGGCTCCCATTTGAAAGAATCCTGTGTCACTTCGTATGGAGACTCCATGTGTGAAAGTTGTCCTGATGGCCATTTTATCACGTATTACAACAATTCCTCGAAATGTCCGGCCTGTACCCATTGTCCAATAGGTTACACTGAGAAGGAACCATGCACACCTGAAAAAAATAGGGTGTGTGTGTGTCCACCAGGCATGTATTTGACGTTTAGATCAGGTACAGAGGGATACTGTGTAGCACATTCCGTGTGTAAAGAAGGAGAAACGCTGTTAAGAAATGGTAAGTAGTTTATTATTATTATTATTACAACATATTTATAGTGCGCCCATTCATATAGCATATTCAGGAGCATTTTACAAAGTGACAATGTAATCATAAATAAACAACAAGATTATGGACATGTTAACGATTGTATACAGTCAGTTGAAAGCCTGATTAAATAAATGTGTTTTAAGTTGTTTTTTAAAAGAATATAGAGATGTACAACATCTTAAACTAAATGGTAGATTATTCCATAAAACAGGTGCTTGATAACTAAAAGAGCGCTGAACATAAGAGACTAGTTTATGTAGATATATTCTTTTAAAGGAACCATCCCGATTTTAACAGTCTCAGAAATAAAAGTCCGAGTACGTATGAAATTGAAGCGCCAAAATATAAAGGAATGGTGTATTTACCTTGTCTCAAAATGTCAGCTCGAAATATTGAGTCGTTTGTACGTGAACGTCAAAACCGCTTATCTGGACACGTAACCCTTTTGAGATTTCGGGTTGCTGTTCCTATAAAGGTCTATAGAGTGAATGACCTACGTGCTGTAGTCGATAACGAAATGTAAATTTCACCTACACATTATTTTTAGGAGCTCTGCTCTTTGGTAGAGGATTTTAAGGGCTTTGAACACAATATTAAAGGGCCAGTCCGGATAATATATTGGAGAATAAAACTGCTTAATTTTGTCTTAAAATCCTCTACCTTAAGCAGTTGACACATTAGCCGAATCGTTCGGCTGAATCAATCGGCGCCGAATTTTATTCGGCCGAATGGGTGGACACACTAGCCGAATGCTTCGCCCGATTCAACCTGTCGGTTGCATCACCTTTCACGTCACATGATTAAACATGGCGGCGTCTATGTCTTCAATCTATCACGTGACTTCTCGGTATGAGTGGTGATTGGCTAATGAATTCTATATTCGACCGAATGCTTCGGCGAAGCGGACACACCAAGCGAATATATCAAACCTGTTTGATTCGGGCGAATCATTCGGATGAATAGAAATTCGGCCAAATGACAGTGGACACACTAGGCGAATTTCGACGCCGATTGATTCGGCCGAATCATTCGGCTAGTGTGTCCACCACTTTAAGGCCGAGCAATTAACTCAATATGTGATATATTTTCAAACAACTTAAACCTGCCAGTCTTTATCTGGAGATGGAGACTGGTGTCCCAAGCTGTATTATGCGGTGTCTGGATAAAACCAGGCTTTAATTTTATAAAAATAATGTGTAGGTGAAATTTACCTTTCGTTATCAATTACAGCACATGGGTCATTCATTGTGTAGACCTCTTAAGGAACGGGAATCGTTTATCAGGTGACCCAACAAAAAAATTGACCCGAAATCTTAAAAGGGTTATGTGTCCGGATAAGCAGTTTTGACGTTCACACCCAAACGACTTAATATTTTGAGCTGAAACTTTTAGACAATGTAAATACACCATTCCTCTATATTTTCACGCTTAAACATCATACATACTCAGACTTTTATTTTTGAGACTCTGTTCAAATCGGGATAGTCCCTTTAAGCAGTTTAATTCTCCAAAATATAATCGAGATTGGCCATTTAAAGGGAATTTATAGTATAATCGACACTTTACCTTGCGTATTACAAGATACGTTTAAACATACATTATGGAAGAGCTAAATCTGCCTATTGCAGGACTTTCTTTAGGCCTGAAATGTTATCTAAATTATTAATTAGACATTAATTAACTTATCCAGATCATAATCAACACTTGATGTCATCGCTAGCCTGCGATATTTACTGGATTAGAATCCGATCTGCTGCTGAACGCTCAGTGATGATTAAATCAAAAAATGGATACTCAAGACCATGTTTTTTATCGTACCGGCTTTAGTAATGATGATCGAGGATAGTCCTATTATTCAATCGCTTAAATCTTGGTTCAGAGTGGATCAACTTGACTGAAATTATCAGCAAATTCCCTTTACATTATCTAGTTTTTATACACCCACATTTTCATGTGGACGTATATTGTCGTCGCCCCTGTCCGTCCGTCCGTCCAAATTGTCTGTGAACAGTCTACAGGTCACAATTTTTATCCGATTTCTATGAAACTTGAAATATAGGTTTATCACCCTAAGATCTCGGTTCCTGTCGATATTGGCATATATCGGACTGTAACTTCATGGATTATGGCCCCTGATTGTACGAAAATTGCCTTTTTAGCTTGTGGACCCTATAGAGGTCATAATTTTTATCTGATTTAAAAAAAAGTATTATTATATCACCGTTACACCCTAAGGACGGCTGAGTTCGAATTTCTTGAAAATTGGCCCAAAACTGACAGACAAAATGGCCGCCCCTCGTTCTCAAATAGCATAAAAATGTGGTATATCAAGGTTGTGGACCCTATCGAGGTCACAATTTTTATCCGATTTTGTTGAAACTTGAAATGTAAGTTTATAAATAACCAAAAGATCTCGGTTACTTTCGATATTTGGGCATATCGAATTGCAATTTCCTGAATTATGGGCCTTGATTGTAGGAAAAATCACTTTCGTTTTAGCTTGTTCTATATCTATCTCTCGAAAATGTGGGAGTATCCTGCCTGGCAGCCGCTGGTTAACTATTATAGTTAGAACTGCCAGCTCTTTATCTAATCTCCCTTAATGTATCTTTAAGAGTGCAAGTATAGAGATGGTTCAGAAGGATTTTTAAGGGATTTAACATGGTTTTCCCTAACTGAAATGATTTGTTAGGGGGTATTGGCTGGCTGGACGAGAATGTTTTGAAATACCAGACGGGACTTGTTGTTCTGACATAACCTATAACCAGAATATACATGTAGTCACACACCCCCCATCCCCTCTCCTAAATGAGATGGTTCCCAAATCATTTCAAAGTAAAAAAAAAAAAGGCGCTAAGTACTATTTTACTGTAAATACTAAGAGAGAGAGAATGGGGTTTAAAGTCCACTCGACACAAACTAGGCCATTTCGGGACTAACATATGGGTTAATTTTATTTCAATAAATCACTTGCGTGTAGGGGTCTTTAGCAGTGGGAGGAAACCGGCATGAGGTTGGACAGGCGACCCTACTCCTTGTCACGTACAACTGGGGAATCGAAACCACGCTAGTTGACTCAATGCAAGAAATTATGAAGCAGTTCGCACACGCTAACCATGCGGATGTGGCCATCCAACCCCCTGAATACTATAAGCACGTACAAAAAATACACAAAGAAAATATAGTCTATTGCTCTAGAGATAGCAGAGTTAATGGTGCTGACACAATGCTTTTTGTTCAACGTACTTTTAATTTTGTAAATTCGTAACATTATTTTTATCCTAGCTTCTGGTCCTGTTGGTGTTAAATCAGATAAAAAAATCTTGTAATACACCCACTACTGATTCCACTACCCTTTGTTATAACTAACAAGAAAAATCAATATTTAATATAACGTAAATAGTGTTCGGTTTGTCATTATTTTTGCACCAATCTTTTACCATAACATTTACTGTGTTAACTTTCATTTAGGTACAGCAACTACGGACACAGTGTGTCAGTCAAAAGAAGACCATCCCAAGGGAGGTTCGTATTTATCATAATATCGTTAAAGATACATTACCAAATTAAGTGAATAGAAATGTGTTACATTATTTTTATACGCCCACATTTTCATGTACAGATATTAATAGAATACAATATCAAAAAACCATTGTTTTATCCAATGTTTCCTCAGTAAAAATACTAATTTCTTCGGGGATGACGAACTGAATACAAAATGACTGGAAGTCAGTTATGACATTGTTGGAAGTTATGACATCATAGGAATGATGATGTCATGGACTTAGATACATAACATGAAAGGTTAGTTTATAATAAAGGTAAAATTTAATAAGTAAGGAAAATTATGCACGATTATAAATGATTTTGAAACCCCCTGGATTTAACTCATGTAAACCATTAGGCCAAACTGAATCAAGTCTATGAATCCACAGACTTTCTGTCCATGGTTCAATTTTGTCGTCACCCCTGTCCGTCCGTCCACAATTGTTTGTGAACCCGCTACAGGTCACAATTTTTATCCACTTTCAATGAAACCTGAAATATAAGTTTATCACCCTAAGATCTCAGTTCCCGTCGATATTGGCATGTATCGGACTGTAACTTCATGGATTATGGCCCCTGGTTGTACGAAAAATCACGTTTTTAGCTTGTGAACACTGTAGAGGTCACAATTTTTATCGATTTGGTTTAAACTTGAAATGTATGTTTTTAACCCACAGATCTCGGTGCCGTTCGATATTAGCGCATATCGAACGATAACTTCCTGAATTATGGCCCCTGATTGTACGAAAATCACGTTTTTAGCTTGTGGACCCTATAGAGGTCATAATTATTATCCGATTTAAAAAACCTTATTATTATATCACCATTACACCCCAAAGACGGCTGAGTTCGAATTTCGTGAAAACTGTCTAAATATATCACCGTTACACCCTAAGGATGGTTGAGTTTGAATTTCGTAAAAATCGGATCGAAACTGACGGACAAAATGCCAGCCCCTCGTTCGCAAATAGTGTCAAAATATTGTGTATCAGGTTTGTGGGCCCTTTGGAGGTCACATTTTTCATCTGATTTTGATGAAACTTGAAATGCATGTTTATAACCCAAATATCTTTGTTACTGTCGATTTTCGTACGTATCGAATCGTAACTTCCTGAATTATTGCCCCTGATTGTACGAAAAATCGCGTTTTTAGCTTGTGGTCCCTCTAGAGGTCATAATTATTATCCGATTTAATAATTTTGTCTTGAGTGTGAATTTCATGAAAATCAGTACAAAACTGTTGGACAAAATGGCTGCCCCTCATACGCAAATAGTGTAAACATCTGGTATATCAAAGTTGTGGACCCTATATAGAGGCCACAATTTTGATTAAACTTGAAATTCAGTTTTATAACCCAAAGATCTTGGTTCCTTTCGATATCCGTGCATATAAGATTGTAACTTCCTGAATTTTGGCCCCTGATTGTATGTAAAATCACATTTTTATCTTTTGGTCCCTCTAGAGGTCAAAATTATTATCCGATATAAAAAACGTTCAAATATATCACTGTTACACCGTAATGTTGGTCAAGTTCGAATTTTGTGAGAATTGGACCAAAAATGCCGGACAAAATGGCCGCCTCTCATACACAAAAAGTGTAAACATCTGGTATATCAAGGTTGTGGACCCTCTATAGAGGCCACAATTTTGATCTGGTTTTAATGAAATTTGAAACACATGTCTATAACCCAAAGATCTTGGTTCCTGTCGATATTCGCACATATCGGATCGTAACTTCTTGAATTATGGCCCCTGAGTGTACAAAAAATCGCGTTTTTAGCTTGTGGTCCCCCTAGAGGTCACAATATTATCCGATTTAAAAAAAACGTTCAAATATACCACTGTTACAAAGTAATGTTATTTGAATTTTATGAAAATGGAACAAAACTGACGGAGAAATGGCCGTCTCTCGTACTCTTAAAGTGTAAAAATATTGTATATCAAGGTTGGGGACTCTCTAGAGGTCAAGATATTTATCCAATTTTGATGAAACTTTAAATTTATGTTTATATCACAAAGATCTTGGTTCCTTTTGATAATTGTGCATATCCGAATTTAACTTCCTGATAGCCGTGATTGTTTATCCGATTTTAAAAACCGTTTAAATATATCACCATTCCACCATAATGAAGGTTGAATTTGAATTTTTGGAGAATCGAAATGAAACTGCCCAACAAAATGGTCGATCTTTGTATGCAAATTGTGTAAAAAGTATGTTATACGAATGTTGTGAACCCTCTAGAGGTCACAACTTTTATCCAATTTTTGATGAAACTTTAAATATATCTTTATATCACAAAGATCTCAGTCCCTATTGATATTTGTGCATTTCAGATCATAACTTTCTGAATTATGGTCCCTGATTGTACGAAAAATCGCTTTTGTTTTAATCTTGTTCTCTATCCATCTCTTGCAAAATGTGGGCGTATCTTGCCTGGCAGCCGCTGATTTTCCTAGCTCCTGGTCCTGTTAAATCTGATAGAAAAATCTTGTAATACACCCACTACTGGATCAGCTACCTTTTGTTATAACTAACAAGAAAAATCAATATTTACTAAAACGTAAACAGTGTTCCGTTTGTCATTATTTTTTCACCAACCATAACATTTACTGTGTTAACTTTTATTTAGGTACAACAACTACGGACACTGTGCCTCAGTCAACAGAAGAACCACATCCCACAGGAGGTTCGTATTTATCATACTATCGTTAACAGTACATTGCCGAATTTAGTGAATTGAGATTTGTTACTTTTTATTCCATACACTTTTCCGACGTGGTTTCCCCTTGTCAGTGGTGCAGGATGGAGGGCCTGACGAGGACAGCTGTCTAGTCGTTTGGATGAGATGAAAAACCGAGGTCCTGTGTATACATTGGGGTGCATGTAAAAGATCCCTTGGCAGTTGGAATTCGATATAAGAGTAGGCCACACTGTATGGCGTATGCCCGTCTTCATTAGCCCAGATTAGAAACAGAACAGTAGGACGTTAAACCCCATTTCATTTCATTTCATTTTTGTCTCGTGTGAAAATGATCAGTTCCTTAGACATAACGCATACAGTATATACCATGGGTTCCACGTCGGCCGTATATGCCGGTCAAGACCTATGGCTATGGAAAATGACCGTTCCTAGATCTGACCTAACGGTCATTTTGCACGCCGGAAAGAGGGTCTTTTTAAAAAAAAAAAATTTCAAACATGACTACGATCGACCTTCACTGTGTAACTATACAAGAATGCACGTCGTCTAGAAGCCAACCTCGTGATTGGTGTTATAGAGTTGTATATATAGTCGTCAACAGATTATACTGAGTGTTGTGTTGATAATTAATGATGAGTGTCTGGTAGTAGAGCAATAAATGTTAATTGATAAGTGGGAATCTAATCAACGGCGTGAAGCGGCCCATTGTTAATCATTAACGTATTGTCCACGTGTCATAAGAATTTTCAACAACAAAGCCGTTTACTGCTATTACGGTCAGGCACAATGTAAACAAGGTTATTATGATCTTCGAAAAAGGGCAATTGATATGAAGTATTGCTCTTTGAATCCAACCAACTGTCATATCAAATAAAAACAGCATAGAAATTACGTAAATCCTCAACAACGTACGTGTTGGAAGAAAAATGCATTTAAAATAAAATGTTTATAGCGGTATTACGGCCTTGTGGAAATTGTTGAAATAAAATCTAGAGATTAGTTAACTTGCTTACAGAACAATTAAGAAAAATACGTATTCCAGTTCTATTGTGCAGCAATATTGATAATTCCACATGTAGAAGAAATGTTGTGTATATACGGTTACTCTTATACACGACCATATTCTAGGGGGCGCTATTGTCGCTAGCCGTGAAGTTAGTTATCCGTTAGTCATTTAGTTATACATTATTAGGATTTACGTCACAATTCTGCGGCCCGTAATTCCGTAAGAGATGGTCTAAAACCAAAAAAAATGTGAGATATATGCCATGGATAATTATATATTTATCTTCATTTCAAAGTTATTGTATTACAACTCAAAATTATCCAGGTCAGTGTGTTTTCTATAGAGCACGTGTTAATTACGTGTGAGCTACTGAAATGGTTTTTCTCCGGCCAATTCAACTATTTCGTTATTTAAGTAGCCAAAACGGAATATTTAATTATTAAATAATTATCATGAGCCTTACTAATATTTCATTTTTAAGTCAAATATATTTTTTTTGTGCACCCCATGGTGACAAAGTAGTATATACACGTGAATTCACAATACCCTACGATGAATAAAAAACATGAAATATAAATTTACTTTGAAAAGTTTTCGTGAATGACCAGCAGTGAAAATTTTGAAGTGGAAGCACTGGTATATACAGTACACTTTGCATAAGTTGAATCTAAGCGGACTGACCAATTTTATCTGAGTTAAACGAAGACCCAAGTTAGCCGAAGACCGAAATTCAATCTTCACTCGATTAGAAATAAACTGCAAGAGCCGGATAATAATTGATTCAAATGCACATTTCAAGCTTTTGTTGGTATGTGCGAGTAGATAACTTCCGTTTTGCTGCGAGTAGATACGTTCTGTTCTGTCGCCATCTTTGAAACATGTCCTAAATTTCCCCGGAAAGTTTCTTGTACAGCAGACACCGAGTTTCAAATTTTCTGGGAAAATTATACTATTGCCTCGCATCAAAAAGGCTGATTTGAGTCAAAATGATAGGGGAAAGCATGGAATACCTAACTGGTCTTAGACCATTGGTACGAAACTGACTTAGTCAAATTCTGAACATACTGCGATCCGACTTAGGCGAAGGAAAAAAGCCGGAATTAGATCAAATGGACCGAAAATTTTGATCCCGAGTTGAACAAAGATCCGACATGCGCGCAGAAATTTTATAAAAAAAACATGCAGGATCAACGGGTCCAAATGATTTTATCCAAGTTGAGCAAAGATCCAACTTATACGAATCTGAATTATGCAAGGTTTACTGTACATGTATCTACACAATATCGGGGGGGTTGGATGGCTGAATGGTTAGCGTGTCGCGCTGTATCATAAAGTCTGCCTTGAGTCGACTGGCGTGGTTTCGAATCCCCGGTTGTACGTGACAAGGAGTAGGGTCGCCTGTCCAACCTCGTGGGTTTTCTCCGGGTCATCCGGTTTCCTCCCACTGCTAAAGACCTCTATGCGCAAGCGAATTATGTAAATAAAATTAAAGCATATGTTAGTCCCGAAATGACCTAGTTTATGTCGAGAGTGGACGTTAAACCCCATTTCTCTCTCTCTCTCCCCCCCTCTCTCTCTCTACACAATATTTTTAAACTTTTTTGAAAGAAATCAAAATCTGGCTCTTTTTTTTTTATTTCAGGTGGAACAAGGAGGACCTGTTCTCTTTTTACCTTTACATGTATTTTCTTAACATTATGTTTAACATATAGAGGATAGTGAATAACATATTAGATTACATTTATCAGTAGGCCTATATATAAATAATATGATGGAAAATGATATCACCCAACGATATCACCCTAGATGGAAGTGGTCGTAAAACTCTAGAAACGAACGAACGAACGAGCTCACATCATTGCTCCTTGAAACTTGATCTACTCACAGTCTAACCCCATGTGCCTTTCGTAGTATGGGGATAAACCCAGAATTCTCTGACTGCGTCATCTCTATTTTTTGTATCATGGGGAACGGTACATGCATCTCGAATCTCGACCATCAGACACCCTAGGCGACCAAAGAATTAAAACTAGTATTCATGTTTCTGGTTGTATAAAGTTATCATGTATTTTACACATTGTAGGTATTATTTTTGTTCAAACTTCCAATTTTTAATCCCAATCCAGGGATTACTTTTTCTTAAATTTATATTAAGGCGCATGCGCCAATGTTTGTATATAAACCTAGGATTATTTTTTTGCAACCTATTGTATCAACCTCTAAGGGCGAACAGCCCGAAACATGTTCTAGATTATATTTTTAAAACTACTGCACAGTGTTGTCATGTTTGTTGCCGGGGATCTATATTTTTTGGATTATTTTCACGGATTGGTTTCTGCTCTTCCCCGGATGCATCACTGAGATCCAAAGTTGCCTGCACTGTTCCAGGGAATCTTCCACCCTCCTTTTCTTATCGAGTGTGGGGGTTTTATCGTCCTCTACTTGGATTTTCTATAAGAATAATATATGGCCCAACTGTAAATTAAATCGTACTAGAGCTTGTAAATAATTATTTTGATGTCTTGTTTTTGTACGTCCACATTCATAATGTGGATGTATATTGCCGTCCTTCGATCCCTGCATTGGCCGAGAAAGTTCATCCAGATTTTCCAGCTTGGTTTCCCCTTGTCAGTGATGCAGGACGGAGGGCCTGACAAGGACAGCTGTCTAGTCGTTCAGAAGGGACAAAAAACCGAGCTCCCGTGTACACATTGGCGTGCACGTAAAAGATCCCTTGGCAGTTGGAATTCGATATAAGAGTAGGCCACAATGCCACTGCCCGGGCAAAAATTTCCCTCATAGCACACTGTATGGCGTATGCCCGTCTTCATTAGCCCAGTTTAGGAGCAGAACAGTAGGATTGTTATGAAAACCTTTCATACATATTCCTTATACCCAAAGGATGACCTCTATTATATTTTGGTGCATGCCCGAGCCCCTGAGATAGAGGCATGTCCAAGTTTTGTGTCTGTGTTAGGTATTGGCTAAAAATTAATTATTTTAGAACACGGGAACAGTGCCAGCTAATCTAGTCTAGTTGGGGGCGTGGCATTTTGGGGCGTGTCCATTAGGGGTAACCCACCGCACAAACTGTCTGGTAGTGGTCATTCATGATTCCTGTAGTGGTACTGAACAACCCCAAAGCTGTTTTAGCTGGTACAGATTTCAGCTAATCTAGCCTAGCTGTGGTCTGGAAATTAGAAAACTCTTGTCAGGGATACTCCACCACTACAAATGTCTGGCAATTACATAGCTCAGCTCCGTCAGGGGTACCCCACCACTAGAAATGTCTGTCAGAGTGTTTGGTACACCGCAGTGAAATTTTAGTGTGGTACACTTTTGAGCTAATCTAGCCTAGTTGGGGGGCATGGCATTTTGGGTATGGAATACCACACCCGACACCAGAAACCAGGCAGACTTACATTCTGATGATACCAGATATACATGCATTGATACCATATATGAGAAAATTGGTACACTTTTCAGCTAAGTTGAACCCCTGGGCTCCTGGTCTATATACCTTAAGGATGGTAACTATTGATTTTGGTGCATGATCCGCCCCGCTTAGGTGGTGCCACACCCACTTTTTGTCATTTTTTTTTTTGTAAATAATCTACAGGTTGAAATTATTAACAGATTTGGATCAAATTCGGCATGATCCTTCATAGGATGGCAACTATTTATATTGGTCCATATCCATCTCTCCGGGGCAGAACCACTCCCAATTTTTGTGTTTATCATCTGCAGGCTGCAATTCTGAATGGATCATCTTGGAACTTTGCATATTTATTTCTTATACTGTAAAGACAGCAATTTTTTATTTTTGTGCATGCCCCCGACCCCAGGAATTATTTACCTATATTGAAGCTGTACCTATGCTCTTGTTTATTTTTATATGAAAAATTTTGAAATATTATGTGTATTTTTTTAAATATGTGTATTTTTTTAAATATGTGTATTTTTTAAATAAAATATTGGTTTGTAAAGAAATTAAAGCGATAATTTCATATTTTTAAGTTATATTTTTAAAATGTATTAAAATAAAGCCTTGTAAGTGATGCAGGATGGAGGATCTGACAAGGACAGCTGTCTAGTCGTTCGGATGGTACAAAAAACTAAGGTCCCATGTACACATTGCCGTGCACGTAAATGATCCCTTAACAGTTGGAATTCGATATAAGAGTAGACCGTAGTGCCGCTGTTCAGGCAAAATTTCCTTATAGCACACTGTGTGCCGTATGCCCGTCTTCATTAGCCCAGTTCGGAGCAAAACAGTAGGACGTTAAACCTCGTTTCATTTCCTGAAATGACCTCTCTAGAAGGTACCTTGCGGGACAAGTTTAGGTTCAATATTAAAGGATTTTCTTCAGAATGGCTGCATTGATTTGGTAAGAATCATCTTTAGGACTATTACTTGGGCGATTTCACCAATTAAGTAAAATTGTATCATGAAAGAAATGACAATAACAGCAAAGATGAATTTGACAAAAAATATTTTTATTAGTTTAATTATCTCAGAAAAAAATAGAATACATTTGTATACACCGGTATTTAAAAATCTACAAAATAACTACAAAATGTTGATGCTTGTGATTGTATATAAGATGTGTGGGGTGGGGGTAGGGTATTTGTGTGGTGTGTTATTTTTGTGGCGGACTGGGGTGTGGGTATTGGTGTGGTGGGTTGGATATTTGTGTGGGTGGGGGGGGGGGTATTTGTTAGGTGGGTGTGGGTATTTTTGTGGTGTGGGGGGGGGGGGGCGGTATTTGTATGGTAGGGGATTGTGTGTAGATGTACATGTAGATCTTAGCAAGCACCAGTTAGCTAAGGGGTTGGGGGCAGTTCATAATGTTATTCCTCGTCAACAAGTTACCAATCGTACAATAAAACAGAAATGGAATGTTCGTGTTATAATAATTCGGACTTGCAGATGTGTTGGCTATGTCAAAAAAAAAACCAAATACAAACAGTTTAAAAAAAAAATGAAAAAAAAAAAATGACACAAAGTTAAGAGAGGTTAACATTGACACATGTACAATATTCAGGTGTGTGTCTTGGAAATTGAGCAGCAGGAGGTCAAAGGGGGACACAACGTGAAGTTTCACGTATGGTCGGGTGGAACTACCCACAAATTTGATAAATTCAGGCCCCGAGTTCACAAAGCATTCTCAAACTTAAGTTAAGAATTTACTCAACTTTCAATCACTGTTTATGACAAATATCTTTGATCCAGAAACATAAAACTTTGCTCATAGTTCCTTATTGATGTATTTGATACAATAAAACAACAAAAAATTTATAAAGGGCTATATTTTAGTTAAATAAGGCAAACATTTTTAAGTCAATTCTTAACATTAGTCTGAAAATTATTTATGAACTTGGGGACCAGAAGGTTTAAGACAATATTTCTGCTCATTTGTGTGCATACATCTATAGCAGTGGTTCTCAACCCTTTTTTGCCAACGGCAACGGCACACCTTGGAACACATGAAAATATATGTAAAAATATGTGAATTTTGTAAAATAAAAGCATGACAAGTCATAGACGGCATACAACCATAAAATGACTCAAACTAAATAAAGAAAAACGCTGCTATGAAATTACCAGTAAACACGAGCGAATACGCAAATGGGATCATGTGGTTTTTCGCATTTTCGCGGCACACTTAGCAAGATCTATCACCGGTTGAGAATCACTGATCTATAGGATTAGAGTGGAATGAGCCAAAACAGCATTATTTCCGTGAATGTAGGAGAGAAAAAATATTATCTGGATCAGCAGGGAGGGGTCTGCCCCCCCCCCCCCTGGATACACGCCCGAATATTAAGTTATGTAATAAAATGGAGTACTATACAAATTATTGTTATATCACAGTCATCAAGGGGGCATTATGGAAGATTAGATAAAGAGCAGGTAATGTTAACGGAATATGCTGAAAATTTCAGTCAAACTGCTCCACTCTAAACCAATATATTAGCGAATGAATTTTAGGCCTAGCCTCGATTATCATTACTAAAGTCGGTACGATAAAAAACATTGTCTTGATTATTCATTTTTTGATTTAACCATCAATGAGCATTGAGCAGCAGATCAGATTCAAATTCAGTGAAAATTCGACACATAAGATAGCATAGAGAGTTGATTATGGTCTGGATAAGTTAATTAATGTCTAATTAATAATTTAGAAAACATTTCATGCCTAAAGAAAGACCCGCAATAGACAGATTTAGCTCTTGCATAATGATATAAATACAGACATTTTGCCCATTGGTCAATTTTATTTTCAAGGATTTTCGGGGTATCTATTGATGATGTTCTATGCAATCTGATAAAAATACAGATCTATATTTCGTTTCATTTTTTTATACTTTCGATGGCCTACACTACATGAAGATCTGACTGGTTGTACTGTATGGTTGCGTCAGGTGTCGTACAAGAAGCTTTTGACCCTATGATGTCAGATATTGATAACAGACCGTTTCATTAGCTTATCTCTCTTCCAGATCCTAGTGTAGTAAAGACAATTAAAGCGAAATTTTGAACTATAAAAAACGAAAAGAAATAGGATCTGTGCTTTAATCCGATTGAAGTTCTATGCATCATTTGATATTCATAAATTGCCTAATGAGTAAAACCTGTTTGATATTTATCAATTAGTATTTATTTATAACAACGTTTTGAGTCTGGTTGATCAAACTTCTTACATGCTGCTGGCTTCACGGAGCCCTGTAATTAAATAATAAAAACTGATTTTATTCGTTATTACATAGTGGCATTATTTTTATTCTTATTATAGCCCCAAATCCCCCTTTTGCCCGGGGTGGGTGGGTGGATAGCCAAATGGTTAGGTCTGTCATTGAGTCAACTGGCGTGGTTTCGATTCCCTGGTTGTACGTGGGCTCTTCATTTAAACTGAGGGGGGTTGGGTGGTCTAGTGGTTTAACGCATGCGCATGAAATCACAAGGTCTGTCATTGAGTCAAGTGACATTGTTTCGATTCCCCGCTTATACGTAACAAGGAGTAGGGTCGTCTGTCCAACCTCTCGGGTTTTCTCCAGGTCCTTCGGTTTCCTCCCAATGCTAAAGACCCCTACGCGCAAGCGAATTATGGAAATAAAATTGAACCATATGTTCAGGCCTTGAAATAACGGTTTTAGATGTACCTGACAAAATGTCAGGCACTAATGAAATAGTACCTGACATTTTCAAATCAGTGCCGGACAAAATGACAGGCACCAGAGGTTTTGTGCCTGATAAAGCCTGAATCTGTGCCTGACATTGTCCGTGACAGGTGCCTTATTTCCAGGCTTGTGGGGATCACGTGACTAAGTGGGTAAGACGCTGGCTCGCTAGCCTGGAGGTTGGGTGTTTGATCCCTGCATTGGCCAAGAAAGTTCATTCAGATTTTCCGGCATGGTTCCCCCTTGTCAGTGATGCAGGACGGAGGGCCTGACAAGGACAGCTGTCTAGTCCTTCGGATGAGATGAAAAACCGAGGTCCCGTGTATACATTGGAATGCACGTAAAAGATCCCTTGGCAGTTGGAATTCGATATAAGAGTAGGCGATATTGCCGCTGCCTGGGCAAAATTTCCCTCACAGCACACTGTATGGGGTATGCCCGTCTTCATTAGCCCAGTATATGAGCAGAACAGTAGGATGTTAAACCACATTTCATTAAATTTTTTTCCAGGCTTGCATATGTTAGTCTCGAAATGACTTAGTTTGTGTCGAGTGGATGTTAAACGACAACAATGTGGGCGTATAAAAACAAATCAAACTTACTTGATATGTTTGACAGATTAATTTAATTAAATCAGCCTCGGCTTCCTTCTCCAGTTTTTCTGTATGTACCTGGTAGAAATACAGTTCATCAAGAAGTTAAATATCTCTAAAAACCCAAACCAACTAGTCTCAATCATAACTGATTTTGTATAAATTATAATATTTTAAAAGAGCTAAATCGCTAATATTTGGGACCTAGAAATTGACCCAAATGGGTCGCAACGCATATAATAATGTAATCTGATTGTATATAAACTGATTTACATTCAATTGTTTCCGTTTTGACTCTAATTCTTATTTCAAATCAGTTATCTCCAGCGAAATATGGCATGAGTCTCAACTGAATCGCTATTTCTAGCGTCTGGCTATTCCAGTCTATTGTGCATGCTCGCATGGCGTCACCTTTTGACAGGAGTTGTGGAATATGTCTAGTCTCGTTCTTTCTGGTCACTTGTTACAAGTGACGCTGAAACGCACTTTGGTACACGATTCTTGTACCAATGGTAAAATGTTTAATTTATCTTAAATATTGGATATCAGAAGCCTACCTTTTCCCGTTAAGATCACAACAACAATGTTGATTTGAATTGACAAATAATTTGTGTTTTCAGTGTGTAAGACTTTGTATGATATTGAGTTAGAGACTTAGCTACTTTAAAATTGATATCCACGCAAAGGAAAATTATTCATTTGGATAAAGGCATCAATTGTAGTATTAGCCTTTATTCAATTCACCTCGTGGGTTTTCTCCGGGTCCTCCGGTTTCCTCCCACTGCTAAAGACCCCTACGCGCAAGCGAATTATGTAAATAAAATTAAACCATATGTTAGTCCCGAAATGACCTAGTTTGTGTCGAGTGGATGTTAAACCCCATTTCTCTCTCTCTCTTATTCAATTCAAGGTGCGTCACGTGTGTGTCAAGATGGTGGCACAGGAGTCTGGTCCCCCTCACGCAGAGTAAATTTTTTTTCTTCAAACTAACAAATATGCCGTATTCCACTCTTATCTAACATATGTATGCACCTACATGTATATCAGCAGAAAGAGCCATGGTGGCTAGGTGGGCAAAGCCCTGGCTCATTAGCCTGGAGGTTGTGTGTTCGATCCCTGCATTGGCCGAGAAAGTTCATTGGGATTTTCCAATGAGGTTTCCTCTTGTCAGTGGAGTAGGACTGAGGGCCCGACAAGAAACAGTGTCTAGTCGTACAGATGAGATGAAAAACCAAGGTCTGTGAACACATTAGCGTGTTCATAGAAGAATCCCTGACAGTTGGGATTTGAATAAAGAGCAGGCCATAGCACAGCGCGTATTCATAGGATGTGAAACCCCATTTCATTTCTTTTGGTCTATACTTACCCCATTCAGTGTAACCCATGGTACATATTGATGCTGTGGTTGAAGAGCATCAGTTTTTACAGCCATTTCATGTTCTAATCTGTTACCAAAACTTGAGTTAGCACATTCCAATATCCGATCTACTGGTGCACTATATATAGGACCACACTAAAAATATTCATATTTATATAAATACTCAATATATGCACATTATAACCTACACTCAATTTGAGTCGAGTCCCAAGTCCCTGACTTAGTACCAAGTTGAGTTGAGTCAAAATTTTGCTGACTTTAGTACCGAGTTGAGTCGTGTCCCAAGTCGCTGACTCTAGTACCGAGTTGAGTTGTGTCCCAAGTCGCTGCTGACTTTAGTACTGAGTTAAGTCGTGTCCCAAGTCGCTGACTTTAGTACCGAGTTAAGTCATGTCCCAAATCGCTGACTTTATAGTACCGAGTTGAGTCGAGTCCCAAGTTGCTGACTTTAGTACCAAGTTGAGTCGTGTCCCAAGTCGCTGACTTTAGTACCGAGTTGAGTCGAGTCCCAAGTTGCTGACTTTAGTACTGAGTTGAGTCGTGTCCCAAGTTGCTGACTTTAGTACCAAGTTGAGTCGTGTCCCAAGTCGCTGACTTTAGTACCGAGTTGAGTCGAGTCCCAAGTTGCTGACTTTAGTACTGAGTTGAGTCGTGTCCCAAATCGCTGACTTTAGTATAGAGTTGAGTCGTGTTCAAAGTCTTCAAAAAGCCTGAATTCATGTCACCAGTTCATCAAATGAATCGGCAAGTCGTGGCATATAAGCTTGGTAAATTAGAGTTATACACCTTCGCGAGTTGTCACGATTGCTGAGTCCGTCAAGAATCGCCATAAATATTTCAAGACAAGTTCCTACCTTTGCTAAATTAAAAGTATATTTACCTTTTTAGCTGCTGTAATCGGATCAAGCGATGATTTCTCCATACAGTGTATATAAGGGAAATATATTGGTTGGGTCATATAATAAATAGCACAAGTCTGAAAGTGAAATTGTGAAACATTAAAGGGAGTTAACCATCTTTTCACTAACAGGATGCAGACCACCATTCCTCATTGATTTCAATGCTCTTAATCAAATTCTACATTTAACCTTTCTTTTCACATAGTAGGACTTTATAATGTTCTTTACCACTGAATAAAACTTTATTTTATTTTCATTTCACCTTGACATTTTCTTAGAATTATCAGTGAGACAGAAATCTTTAAGAGAGAGAGAGAGAGAGAAGAGAGAGAGAGCGAGTTTAATGTGTACTCCACACAAACTAGGCCAGGTACTAACATATGGTTTAATTTCATTACAATAATTTGTAGGCGACTTTAGCAGTGGGAGGAAGCTGAGGACTCAGGGAAAAACCTACTCCTTGTCACGTAAAAATGGGGAATCGAAACCCATGCCACTTGACTTAATGACAGACCTTAAGATCTAGAGAGCGCAGCCTTAAAGTTACAATTTCATATTTTCTAAGAAAGTCAAAACATAATTATTTCTATGTCTTTTGCTTAATGGGTTGTCAACTCACTATTACACGATCATAGGTGTCATTCTCACACTTAAAACTCATTTACACCGGAAATAATAACACAATTACCTCCCAATTACCTTCCTTGTTTTCTATTCTCCACCATGGAGTAGCAAACTTCAAACGTTTGAATTTGTCAATCAAAATGATATTTTTGCCATTTTCTCAACTGGCAATAGTGAATTATAGGATTAATAGGATTATTTTTTAACAAGGTAGGGCTGTTTATAAATACCATCTATTTTAAGGCTTTATTTTAATAAATTTTAAAAATATAACTTAAAAATATGAAATTGCAACTTTAAACCATTTGGCCACCCAAACCGCCCAAGAAATATAGAGTAACTCACATCTATCAAGTTACCAACGCATTCATTTGGTCCGTGTTGACAATTATATTTCCACAGATCACCATCTTTAGTCTCCTGAAAATATAAAAATATTTACTTTTACATCTTTGAAGCTTGATGTGGAGCCACGGTGGCTAAGTGGGTAAGACGCTGGCTCGCTAGCCTCGAGGTGTTGTCAGTGGTGAAGGATAAAGGGCCTGACAAGGACAGATGTCTAGTTTTTTGGATGGTATTAAAAACCGATGTCCCTTGAATACACTGGCATGCACATAAAAGATCCCTTGGCAGTTGGAATTCAATATAAGATTAGGTCATAGTGCCACTGCCCCGGCAAAATTTCCCATATAACACACTGTATGGCATATGCCTTCCTCATTAGCCCTGTCGGAGCAGAACAGTAGGACGTTAAACCCCATCTCATTTCATTTGAAGCTTGATAGTAATTATAGTACAGTAATGTTTTTAAGCAAATTCTAAATGAACATTCTTTTTTATTGATCATGTAAGCTTACACACTATATTGTTTGTTCTGTCTTGGTTCTGTAGTGCAGATTTCCATTAAGGGAGAGAGAAATAGGGCTTAATATCCACTTGACACAAACTAGGTCATTTCGGGACTAACACATGGATGAATTTTATTTCAATAATTTGCTTGCACGTAGGGGTCTTTATAGTAGTGGGAGGAAATTCGAAGACCTGGAAAAAACCCATTCCGCCATCCAACCCCGCTTTCCTTTAAAGTTTGACTATTTACATATCTAAATTAAAGAGAAAACTATATTTGCTCCAGAAAACAACTTATCAACAATGCAAAACATATTGGTGTGCCTGTAAAAGATCCCTTCAATTTGTGTATTTGGGTGTCTCGAGCAGACATTGATCAGTAAAACGCAGGGACCTGGGTGAAACACATGGGTGAACAATATCCTGTAGATAGGGCAGAGCCATTAAGTTCAATTTTAACTTACCTCAGCATTAATTTAATGCAGCCTGGTGACTCAATGACAGACCTTATGATTCAGCGCGCACGCGCTAAACATTCGGCCATTCTTCCCCCCCACTGGGAAACAAACCCTGAACTATTGGTGACGTAGGTAATTTTGAACCGTAAGGGGCGGGGTGGGGCGCGGAACAATATCTTGAATAATATCGTTTCGTTAATCCGCCGCTGTTGTTTGTATTTCAGAGGACAACAAATTGAAAAAATCGCTCCCCTAAAAAAATGTCCCCGTTTTGATAAGAAGAGTGATTTAGAAATTAAGGAGAGTGATCTGATATTAAGGACAGTGATTAGTTATGTGCATGGGAAATGGTTCTGAAGATCAATAACTGCATGTAGGGGGTCATTCCTGGTTTCATAAATGATAATAAACCCCCCATGACTTTGTAAAGGAGAGCGATTTTCAATTTTAAGGAGAGGGAGAAAAAACCTCCTCTCGGTTGACATTCAGGTGAGCCGCAGGTGCTCAAGAGTGATCGCTCGCCTTAAAAAAACAATGACTGTTAATATTACCTACCTCTGCGTTACCATATGGTACAATGGTAAGGTTCATTATTTTACCAACAGCCTGGTAAGCTGGAAAAAGTTGTTCAGCAAAAAATCTTTTACAATCAGGACATAATGATTCGTAATACAGGGTAAATTTCACCAGTGGTCCATCAGACTTGATATTCCAACTGTTGACAGCACATTGTTCTGTTACCTGATTATAAAAAAACCCACAAAATTATGTAAGGGCAGATCTAGGGATGAGGGCAGGGTATTTTGAGCCACCCTTGTTTAATCTCTCTACAGTAAGGACAGAGTAAAGTTCACCAGTGGTCCATCAGATTTACATTCAAACTGTTGACAGCACATTGGTCTGTTACCTGATTATAAAGAAACACAAAACTGTTCACATTCAAATAATCCTTGAAATCATAATAAATTTAATAGTACAGAGAGAGAGGGAGAGAGAGAGAGAGAGAGAGGAGAGAGAGAGAGAGATGCCACTCAATACAAAGTAGGTCATTTTGGGACTAACATATGGTTCAGTTCTGTTTTTACTGTAATTTCTAATCAGTTATGTTCATTGAAATATGCAAAGAGTCTTAATTGAATGGCAGTCTTTGGCTTCTTGTAATTTGAGTCTACACCAGTAGTATTCTCCAGTGGGATATGTTTAGCGAGGCTCGTTCATCATGTCACTTCATTTCTTAAAAGCCCATCGTTTCACGGTAAGATAACAACATCAATGTTGATTTAAATTGACCAGTAAGTTGTGTTTGAAGATTGTGGATGGTATTGACTTTTAAACCCGCTCCTTTAAGATCTGGGGTGGGGGTGGGGGGGTTGGATGCCTGACACAAGGAGTACGTTTGCCTGTCCAACCAGTTTCCCCCAACTGTTAAAAGACTCCTACGGCAAGCGAATTATTGAAATAGAATTGACCATATGTTAGTCCCGAAATGACTTAGTTTGTATCGAGTGGACCTTCAACCCCATTTCCCTCTCTCTCTCCTCTCTTTAAACAACAAAAAACGAAAGTAGCGAAAAAGAATACAAACCTTACATAACTCGGCGATTTCTTTTGATGAGCACCACAACTCGGGTGGAAAATTACATTTGGTCGACACGGATGTAGAAATAAAATTCACAAGAACAAGTGCAACTGCCAAACACTTCATTTTGTTTGCAAATGACAAATAAGCTAATCTTTCGTGGTAGGTGTGTACAAACCGCCTGCTTCCACAAGACTCAAGAGTTGTCTAAAAATTAGGTCAACAATCACACGGCTCGCTGTTTATTTGTATACGATAAACTTGATTGTCCAGACTCGAAATATTCCAAGTCATAGTTTGTCTATGGGCTGGGCTCGTTGTACATGGTTAAATTTAGCGAAAATTATCGCAGTGGTCGAACTGTTGGTTTATTTATCAGCATATGTAGGGTTTGTTTTTAATAAAGTGGCTCACGACACCTTAAAGGAAACCAATATGTACATTTATTCTAAAAGTAGGCCATTAATAACCGTTAACGCGATTTAAAGAACGGTCAGCCGAACACTACCGATTTATAAACTGAATCACATGACTGTAAATTTAACCTACACTTGAGCTCGTGATTACAATTGTTGTTATAAAAAGTGTTTGTCATTATTCATTCAACAACAATCAATACGCGTGATTGAAAACTTTAGAAATGAAATCGGGTTTAATGTCCTACTTTTCTGCACCGACTGGGCTAATGAAGATTGGTGTTAATTTGTGCTCGGTTAATTTATCGTTTTATCCGAACGACTAGACATGCACTGTCCTTGCCAGGTCCGTGTCCTAGCTACACCACTAAGAATTAAAGGGGAACGTCAAAAAGACCATTTATTGTCCCATCCAGGTCAGGTCCGTACCTAAAAGTTTCGCCCCCCCCCCCTCGTGAAAAAATTTTCGACCATAAAAACTTCCCCCCACCTCGTTGCTATAGTTACGGCCCCGGTCCCATCTGAACGACTAGACACTGTATTTTGAATACCGACCAGCAATGCCTATATGGATTAGGCTATGTAGCAGTCGAAGGATGTGCCCGATTATTAAGTAGCCTACGAGTTAAAGGCTAGCTAGCAGGGTTAGATCTATTTGACAAGGTCAATTTCAAGTTTGGTTCAAGATCACGAGATGTAAGCAGGACTAACGTTAATCCCAACCCTGGACCTAGCCCCAATGCTTTTCCTAACCCTAACCTACAATCTCGCCAACAATCACATCCCTAATCTTACTTACATCTCAACGACCTTGACGAAAATTGAGCTGGCCTTAACAAATAGATTTAGCCCTTTATACAGGCCCTATATAAACACTTAAAAAAGGCTATGGTTCTCTCATATATTTCTATTTCAAAATATAAACAACAGTAAAACATAAAATAGGCTAAATGTTTAATTTTTAAAATGAATTTTTTGTACACGTCATTATTAATTGAAACAAAACAGGTAACAGTAAGAAAAGACAATAACAATGTAAAACTAATTAAATGTTCTTAACTAATTTTTAAATTAAATATACATTATGATATCATTAGGCAAGAGCTAAATCTGCCTATTGCGGGTCTTTCTTTGGGGCTGAAATGTTATAAACTATAAACTATAGGGCCTCTAATTACTAATAATGGCATAAAAGGTCATCGGAGCAAGTAACACCTGCCGTAGGTATTTCCAATTCAGTTTGAGGATTGCCCTTAAAGGAACTAAATCACTATTCTTTGGCACCTAGAAATGGGCACAATTAGGTCGCAACGCATATATGTATATAAACTGGTTTACATTCAATCTTTTCTGTTTTTACTGTAATGTTCGGCGAAATACGCGACGAGTTCAAATTGAATCGCAGTCTGTGGCGTCTGGTTATTCCAGTCTAAACCGGTAGTGTCTCCTGTGGGGTATGCTTAGCCCCGTTCATCGAGTCGCTTCATTACAAATGGCCCTCGAAAGCATTCCAGCACGCGATTCGTGCGCCAATTTTTAAATTTTCATTTTGTCTTAAATATTGGAAATCAGAAACCCACCTTTTCACGGTAAGATAACAACATCAATGTTGATTTAAATTGACCAATAAAATGTGTTCGCAATGTCGAAGACTGTGAATGATATTGAGTTAGCGACTTACCCCCTTTAACAACCGCTTGTAAATATCAACCGGGCGGGTGAGTTACTCAATATATCAGCCAACATCATAATTTCAAACATATCAGGGCGGTAACGCCCATCAATGCCTAAAAGACAGTCCTTACAGTATGGTTCAGTGAGAAACTGAAAGGAAACCAAATTAAAATGAAACGATCAGCGACGAAACCCCTTAACTTCCACGAACCATTACAATAGGTTTAACCGTCAACGTTGAGGCGATAGTATTTGATTGGTTGAATTTGTATGGTTGCTAACGTAAACTGGTTGTCAAGGCTTTGTCGTGGATTAAAAGATAAATATTCCATCCGGGTCATTCCATTCTGTTAACTATCTAACGTAAAACGAATTTTCAAATTTGAATCATGCATTTTTGTCTTATAGACATGATCAAACCAGTCATTTTGAGCCACAGTAAACCAGTTCTTCCAGTCTCCTACTTCACCTGCAATCAAAATAACGAAAGAAAGAATTAATTTAAATGCATGAATTTCCAATCTGATTAAAACACGGATCTTATTTCGTTTTTTTTTTACACTTCATAATTTCGTTTTACTTGTCTTTAGTACACTAGGACCTGGAAAAGTTGTTATATTACCGGCGTGAGGGATTAGCCAATGAAACGGTCTGTTACGGCGAGATCTTGGCGTGCGATGCACCGAACTGTGACGTCATAGGATCAAAAGCCGCTCGTGCGACCCTTGCCGCGACTTTCCAGTACAACCGGTCAGATCGTCATGTAGTGTAGGCCTTCGAAAGTATAAAAAAAACGAAATATAGATCTGTTTTTTAATCAGACTGGAACAATGTCGTTAAAATAGAAATAAAACTGACAACTTTATGGATAACATTCACTGGGTTTTATTAACTGCAACGTTTCAATGCGGATACTCTCATCGTTATCAAGCAATGATACAATCAAACATGTTACAGAAGATTATATACAAGTGGATAAAAATAAACTAATTAACAGTTTAAATCACAAGCCATTAAAGTTAAACCTAATACCTATGAACTATTAATATTAATCAATAAGAAACCCTTATATACAATGTACAAGTGGATAATAGATTGGTGAAAAAATTAAAGAGGCATTATGTAAGAATTATACTAGGAGCTGTCTGTTCTTGCTATAATAGTTCAAAAATGGATAACGAAAAATGTATATATAAAAAATTGTAGTCACATTACTCGATTATCTATTTGACCATTAATAAATTGTTAAATGGCGAGACGGTTCATGTCAATAAATGTCTAAATAATAATTTTGGCGTCGTTTCAGTTCCTCGGTTGTACGTAACAAGGAGTAGGGTCGCCTGTCCAACCTCATGGGATTTCTCTGGACCCTCCGGACCCCCCCCCCTCCCCCCACTGCTAAATAATAATTTATATAACATTTGAAGATAGAGCCAAGACCTGCAATAGACATATTTTGCTATTGCATAACGCCTCTTTAAGTTCTGCCGACATTCGAAGCCCTTGAATTAAGATTTTTTAAAATTTAGTATCATTGACTCTAGTTACCTTTACGATACATGATTGGTTCTCCATTAAAAACTTCTAACTTTCCTTTGTCTTTCTTCATTTGTTTAAAACAGCATTTCTCACATACTGTTTTTATAAAATCGTCATCATAATTTTTACCCAGAAACTTTGCAATCTGTGTTATCCCTTTAATGGGATCCTGTGAAAATAAGCAATGAAATAAAATGAAATGAAATGAAATCGAGTTTAACGTCCTACTGTTCTGCTCCGACTGGGCTAATGAAGACGGGCATACGCAATACAGTGTGCTAAATTTTGCCCGGACAGTGGCGCTATACGGCCTAATCTTTTTTTCGAATTCCAAATGTCGGTTTTTCGTCCAATCCAAACGAATATGCGTTGTTCCCTGTCAGGCACCGAATCCTGCACCGCTGATATTCTCGACCAACGCAGGGATCGAACACGGGACCTCCAGGTTAGCGAGCCAACGTCTTACTCACTGAGCCACAGCGGCTCCGTAAAATGATGAAAAAAATCAAAAAAATCCATAAATGTAATGTCATTAGGTGACAAACTCAACGTCGCATTGACTGACATATTGTCATGGATAATTGACACTATCTCATAGATTAGAATCTGACCTTTCAGCAGAGTTCAAATTGTCACTTCAGTGACTTTTAGATGTGGTAGCACGTGTAGAATTTATGCGCGGGAAAGTATGGTCACAAGATAGCGAGTCATGATATGGAAATAATATGAAATTAAATGGGTTTTAACGTCCTATTGTTCTGCTCTGACTGGGCTAATGAAGACAGGCATACGCCATACAGCCTAAAGTCTGTTTTTGTACAGCTGCTATGCGGGGATTTTTGAATAACTGTTATAATTAAGAAATCCTTAAAGGGCCAATCCCGATAATATTTTGGAGAATAAAATCCTCTACCTTAGGGCCGAGCAACTAACTCAATATATGTGATACGTTTTGAAACAACTTAAACCCGTCAGTCTTCATCTGGAAATGGAGACCGGTGTCCCAAGCTGTATTATGCGGTTTTATTTTATAGAAATAATGTGTAGGTGAAATTTCCCTTTCGTTATCAAGTACAGCAGTTGGGTCATGGGAATGGGAATCGATTATTAGGTAATCCAACAAAAATATACCATTCCTCTATTTTGGCGCTTAAATTTTATACATACTTGGACTTTTATTTTGGAGACTCTGTTTAAATGGGGGTAGTCCCTTTAAATGTGTAGTTTGGCAGATGAGAGGACTATAGTGTGTTTAGTATAGCACACAGCTCTAATAAGCTTCCAATCAAAACATGAAATGAAATGGGGTTTTAATGTCCTACTGTTCTGCTCCAGCTGGGTTAATGAAGACTGGCATGCACCATAATGCGGCCTACTCTTATATGCAATTCCAACTGCCAATGAATCGTTTACGTGCACTCCATCCCATCCGAACGACTATAAGTTGTCCCTCGTCAGCTCCCGGCCTGCATCACTGACAAAGGGGAACACGCTGGACAATCCGCTGAAACTTTCTCGGCCAACACAAGGACCGAACACGAGACATTCAGGTTAGCGAACCAACATCTTATTCACTGAGGGGGGTTGGATGGCCGAATGGTTTGCACGTGTGGGCTATATCATAAGGCCTGTCATTGAGTCAACTGGGGTGGTTTCGAATCCCCGGATGTACGTGACAAGGAGTAGGGTCGCCTGTCCAACCTCGTGGGTTGTCTCCGGGTCCTCCGGTTTCCTCCCACTGCTAAAGACCTCTACGCGCAAGCGAATTATTGAAATAATATTAAACCAGATGTTAGTTCCGAAATGACCTAGTTTGTGTCGAGTGGACGTTAAACCCCATCTCTCTCTCTCTCTCTCTTACTCACTGGGCCACGGCGGATCCCGTCGTTCAAAGAATATTTACGATTAAAGGGAGATAACCTACACTCACCTCTTGTAAATCTTCATATGAAAGAGCCAATATGGGTAGATCAGTGTGACTCATCATCGCCTTTTCCCAACCAAGAACATAATCAAACCAAGAACCATAATCAACTAAAATATCATATTAAACATACATCATGGGAGTAAAGATAAAGAGCTGGCAGTTCTCGCTATAATAGCTCACAAATAGATAATGTAAAATGAATATATTGAAAATTTCATTCATATTACTTTATTCTGAGCCAAGTTAACACTGTTTGTAGTTTTGACAAGATATGCGCATAGTGGTAACCAGGGCACTGGTATATTCGAGACTTAGCCTAGCTTTCCCATTTTAAAATTAAATTTTTAAATGACGAACCGTTTTAATCTAGTTAAAATCTCGAGTATCCAATGGCATCGGGAGTTGATTATGGTCTGGATAAGTCAATTAATAATTTAATAATTTAATAATTTTTTTAACATTTCAGGTCTAAAGAAAGACCTGCAATGGGCAGATTTAGCTCTTGCATAATGTATGTTTAAATGTTATAGAATGTATAATACTGTATTCCTAAAACTCTATTAAAGATGCATTATGTTAGAGCTAAATCTGCCCATTGCAGGTCTTTCTTTTGGATTCCGGTACTCTTCCACTAGCCTCGGCTGTTTGACGTTAAGTGATATGTAGATACACCTATACAATTGCGATGCGGCTACAGGTTTACTTTGTGGAAAACGTGCCGCTTTTAGAATGAAGTTCTCAAAATTGCGTCGTTCGAAGAGTGTGTAGAACGTTCATTGCAAAGTTCTCATTGTTTAAAGAAAATCGGATAAACAGCTTCAGACTTTGAAATCTTTGTATGATAAAACAGTCTTCAAATGCGTTGTCATGGATGACGTCGTTGGTAATTCGGGAACTTGAAAGTAGTTCCAATGGCGGACTTCGTCAACCAGCCGAGGCTAGACGTAGGGTACTGGAATTTGCTGAGGTTTGCCGAGTGGTGAAGCATATATACCCAATCTGATTAAAATACAGATCTGTATTTCGTTTCGTTTTTTTATACATTCGATGGCCTACACTACATGAAGATCCGATAGGTCGCGTCAGAGGTCATACGAGTGGCTGTTAACCTATGACGTCAGACATTTGATTAACCAATCAGCATTGATGTTACTAGTTCCGTGCAAAACACATCTAAAGCTCGCCGTAACAGACCGTTTCATTGGCTAATAGCTCACATTATTCAGAACACGTCATTATTAACAACTCTTCCAGATCCTAGTGTAGTAAAGACAAGTAAAACGAAATTTTGAACTATTAAAACGAAACGAAATAGGATCTGTGTTGTAAACAACCAGTACTTACGACGTCCGTCAAAGACCATGGGGAGATAGTTCTTCCACTGACCATGATATTCATAAAATTCTTCTAACTTTTTGTGATGATTGAAATAAGACACACTGACATCTTTAGGATTCCGCAATAAATAAATAATTTTACATTTCTTATCGTAAATATCAAATGGTAATTTATCAAATGGTAAATGAGTGTTTAGAGTTCGAGGGTCTGGTTGATCGTGAAAATGACTAGCGAGACTCAACTCGATCATCCCGTCATCTTTTTCCACTACTTCTAAATCTATTGTACCAGCTTGCAGTTGACGAGTTATCTCCCATACCCAGTGTGTGCCTGTCAAATAATATAAATGAAATTTAAAAATCACCAAAGAGCACGCATAAGGCTGATACATAATGCTAATCGACATGCAGTTTATAATATGCGTTCTGCTTGATGGAAGGGATTAGCCAATGAAACGGTCTCATACGGCGAGATCTTGGCGTGTGGGGCAGGGAACTGTGGGTTTCCCACTAGACACGTCAACGTTGATTGGTTAATGAAATGTCTGATGTCATAGGGTCAAAAGCCTCTGTATGACCCCTTCCACTACAGGCCATTGTATTTTAAGTGAACTGGGAGTTGCGGAGGTTTGGTGAGTACGACGTTGGCTCGCAATCCCAGAGATCCTTTGTACGATCCCGGTGTTGGCCTAGAAAATTCATCGGATTTTCCGGAGTGCTTCCCGCTTGGGGGGTGGGGGGTGGATGGCTGAATGGTTAGCGTGCGCGCGCTGTATCATAATGTCTGTCATTGAGTCGACTGGCGTGGTTTCGAATCCCCGGTTGTACGTGACAAGTAGTAGGGTCGCCTGTCCAACCTCGTGGGTTTTCTCAGGGTCCTCCGGTTTCCTCCCACTGCTAAAGACCCCTATGCGCAAGCGAATTATTGAAATAAAATTAAACCATATGTTGGTCTCGAAATGACCTAGTTGTGTCGAGTGGACGTTAAACCCCATTTCTCTCTCTCTCTCTCGCTTCCCGCTTGTCCTAGCACGGGACAACGTATACTCGTTTGGGTGGGGCCAAAAACCGAATTCCCGTGTAAACATTCAATATATGAATAGAGCGTAATGCCGCTGTCCGGGCAAAATTTCACTCATAGCCCACCGTATGGCACGCTGTCTGGCGTATGCCCGTCTTCATTAACACCGTAGGGCGTTAAACCACATTCCATTTCATTTCTACAGTAAATATCTGATCTTTAAGAGCTCCTGCATCCTGTTTAAAGCAGATTACCTGATTTGGGGTAGGCACAGACCAAGACGTCGTCGGATCTGAGTTTAAATTCCGGCAGTTTGACCAGGGCTTCGATAGGAAAGGGAGGTAATAACAGATCATCAACTTTAACAACGTTTACAGTGTCTCCGCCATCATCTGCAACTTTTACTGACGTCATGATAGGTAAGCTACTAGAATCTGAAAATGAAATAAAATGGAGTTTAACGTCCTATTTTCATCCCCCGACTGGTCTAATGAAGACGGAAACAGTCATGCAGTTTGCTATGAGGTAGTGGGGGGGGGGGTAGATGACCGAATGGTAAGTACGTGCGCGCTGTATCATAAGGCCTGTCATTGAGTCAGCTTGCGTGGTTTCGAATCCCTGGTTGTACGTGACAAGGAGTAGGATCGCCTGTCCAACCTAGTGGGTTTTCTCCGGGTCCTCCGGTTTCCTCCCACTGCTAAAGACCCCTACCCGCAAGCGAATTAATGAAATAAAATTAAACCATATGTTAGTCCCGAAAATGACCTAGTTTGTGTCGAGTGGACGTTAAGCCCCATTTCTCCCTCTCGCTATGATCGAGAAATTTTGCCCGAACAGTGGCGCTACGGCCTACTCTTATTTCGAATTCCAACTATCAAGGGTTCTTTTACGTGCACTCCAATGTGTACACGGCACTTTGGTTTTTAGTCCCATCCGAACGACTATACGATGTCCCTTGACGTTGTGCCAATAAATCTATCTATCTGATTAAAATACAGATCAATATTTCGTTTCGTTTTTTTATACTTTCGATAGCGTACACTACATGAAGATCTGACAAGTCATAGCGATATGTCACGTCAGAGGTCAAAAGACCGACTTATGACCCTATGACGTCAGACATTTGATTAACCAATCACCATTGATGTTACTAGTGGATTACCCACAGTTTCGTGAAAAACACGCCTAAAGCTAGCCGTAACAGACCGTTTCATTGGCTTATTCCTGACACCATTCAGAACACGAGTTAAATAACAACTCTTCCAGATCCAAGTGTAGTAAAGACAAGTAAAACGAAATTTTGAACTATAAAAACGAAACGAAATAGGATCTGTGTTTTAACCAGATTGAGAAATACTGACATACAAATCGTCCCATCCGAACGACTAGACAGCTGTCCCTTGACGTTTGTGCTAATAAATCTATCCATCTACAATGCTGACATACAAATGGCATTTGTGTGAGTGTGACGGATAATGACTAGAATATAACCTCTTTTCACTGTTGATTTAAGGCCCGCAGAGACAGTTTCAGACAGGGGCCCAAAAGCCGATAAAGACGTACCGCCAGGTATTCTGCATGAAGCAGGCCGTGAACTGTCGGATTTTCAATTCCTACCCGTGGTATAGAGCTGTAGGATAGGCGTTCCCTCACCTTGTTACATAGGTAACCCCCCCCCCCCACCCCACATCCTCTCGCTTGAACGTGCCCTATGTGCCACACCGTAGATACGACACTGCCCCCATTTCTTTGTTTAGCATAATACCACGGTAATATAATCTTTTCGTTTCCTTTTTATGTTCTCAAAATGGTAAGGACAGTACCTTTTGGGCTGTGAAGGGATTCGCCGTCCAGATGTGTTTATTTCTGTAACAGAAGGCGAGCCGTCGTTGCTGTTTCTAAGGAAACAAGTTTCGGCAGGTCAACCAATATGGACAATTGCACCGAAGATCCAATATCTACTCTCAAGTCCAGCCTATGAAAAAAGAGATAAGAAACAAAAACCCTACAAATGAGTACATTATCGTAAGAGATTTGTATATCCATAGACTTGTGTAAACTTTGGACTGATATTATTTGTTAAAGTAATAATTCATGACCAATTTACTATCTATAGCTTACTATAGTTAACGCATTTTGTTATCATCTTTTGTAATTAAACATACATTATGCAAGAGCTAAATCTGCCAATTGCAAGACTTTCTTTAGGCCTGAAATGTTTGCTAAATTATTGATTAAACATTAATTAGCTTATCCAGGCCATAATCAACTCTCGATGGCATCGGATTTCTCTGATATTAAATAGATTAGAACAGTTCCGCCATATTTTGATTTAAGCTAAAAATGGAGGAGCACGACTTAGCTTCGAACAACCAGTGCAGTGATTGAAATTATTGCACACGTCTTGTCAAACCTTCAAAGGCTAATATCTTCGCTCGCAATAGAGCAATTTGAATGAAATTTTCAAATCATTCATTTTACCTTATCTATTTTCGAACTATTATAGCAAGAATGGCTAGCTCTTTATCTAAATCTTACATAATGTCAATAATCACGTGCCCTAACCTTATTTACATCACAGTGATCTTGACGAAAATTGAGCTGGCCTTAACAAATAGATTTAGCCAGAATGCGATACTATTCTTTATTAAATTATATCCCACGGTGACTAAGTGGGTAAGACGCTGGCTCGGTAAGTTGGGGGTCGCAGGTTCGCTCCCGGTGTTGGTCGAGAAAGTTCATCGGGATTTTCCGGCGTGGTTTCCCCTTGGCAGGACGGAGGGTCTAACACGCACAGCTGTTCGGATGATATAAAAAGCCAAGGTCTTGTGTACACATTGGCATGCACTGAAAAGATCCCTTGGCAGTTGAAATTCGATGTAAGAGTAGGCCTTAGCGCTGCTGTCCGTGCTGGATTTCCCTCATAGCACACTGTATATGGCCTAAACCCGTTTTCATTTCATCCCACAATATAATATGTACACCCGTGGTCTAATTGTATAATTGTAGTTTAACAGCAATGGTTAGATAGCCTTCAGAACGGGACATTCATGTGGATATAAACCTTCAGAACGGGACATTCATGTGGATATAAACTTTCAGAACGGGACATTCATGTGGATATAAACCTTCAGAACGGGACATTCATGTGGATATAAACCTTCAGAACGGGACATTCATGTGGATATAAAACTGAAGATTTGTCCTGGCGATCAAAACCATGGGGGGGGGGGGGCAGAGATCTATTCGCCCCCCTCTTCCGATTCTAAGGGTCCCCCCACCCCACCCCCTAAATCCACGCCCATGGTTATTGTATTCAATAACGCCGAGAGAACATCTAACAAAACGTAGCTTTAATTAAAATACTAATTGTGTTCCATATTATGCTTTTTATGTTTATTAGGTGTGTCAATTGCTAAATGCCGCTCAAAGAAGGTTTATATAAAAGGAAGAAACAGCTAACTGTATCTTCGGTTATCATTTGCTTGATAACGTTGAGAGAACCCTCAACAAAGTAGTAATTGCGCTCCATACGTTTTTGTATTTATTGCGTGTGTCAATTGTTAAATGCTGCTAATGGTTAATGCTAAATGATAAGGCCAGCTCAATTTTTCGTCAAAGGTCACGAGATGTAAACAGGGCTAGCGCTAATAATCCCAACCCTAACCCTCAAAGAAGATAAACATACCTTCTTAACTATCAGCTTCACCAACGACGACCTTAATTTACTTCAGCAGCTATCAACCATGACGAAGTATTTTGTTCATAACCTTTTTTCATCCGGTAAGATACATCGCCTTTTTGACTGTACGCTAGCTAGCACAGCAGGAGGTCTATTCTTCTTGAGTGATTATACTCGCAGTAAATTTAATTTTCAATCCCTCGTGGCCATCATTCCGCCGTCTTATAGTGTTGATTTATACAATTCTCTCGCCAAGATAAAACTACCTCCATTGTTATTATGCCGAGCACATAATATCTAGTTTAAAGCGACGTGTTGTTAATGACGAAATTTTTAACGGCTTCACTGGACAACAGACCATGAAGCATTGGTGGCGTAGGTAGGGGCGGGGTGTGGCGCGGGGGCGGAACAAGTTTAATATCACTTAATCGAATATTAAATAGCGATGGTATGGGGAAAGCACACTATTCAAAATAAATTTTGAGAGTGAACAATATTTTATAAGGGTGGAGGTGTCTCAATCCCATTTCCTGCCCCATATACTTTACGGCGTGGTTTCCCCTTGTCAGTGATGCAGGGCGGAGGGCCTGACAAGGACAGCTGTCTAGTCGTTCGGAAGGCACGAAAAACCGAGGTCCCGTGTACACATTGACGTGCACGTAAAAGATCCCTTGGCAGTTGGAATTCGATATAAGAGTGCCGCTGCCCAGGCAAAATTTCCCTCATAGCACACTGTATGGCGTATGCCCGTCTTCATTAGCCCAGTTTAGGAGCAGAACAGTAGGACGTTAAACCCCATTTCATTGCCCCATATACGCCAGTGTTCGGGCCTTCCTTAATTGTCTTTCCGGTGAAATTAATAGCTCCCAAGAGAGAGAGAGAGAAAGAGAGAGTGAAATGGGGTTTAACGTCCACTCGACACAAACTAGGTCATTTCGGGACTAACATAAGGTTTAATTTTTATTTCAATAATTCGCTTGCGCGTAGGGGTCTTTAGCAGTGGGAGGAAACCGGAGAACCCGGAGAAAACCCACGAGGTTGGACAGGCGACCCTAATTCTTGTCACGTACAACCGGGGATTCGAAACCACGCCAGTTGACTCAATGACAGGTTTTATGATACAGCGCGGACGTGCTACCCACTCCCCTCACTTTGCAGCTGCTATTATTTACTTGAGTCGCGGTGTCTCAGTGAGTAAGACAATGGCGGGGGGGGGGGGGTGTCTTTGGTTCTTGAATAATATCGTTTCGTTAATCAGAAGTTGTTGTTTGTATTTTAGAGGAGAACCAAGAAAGCTCTCCTCAATCAACAAATTGAAAAAAATCGCTCCCTAAAAATAGGCTCTCCCAGTTTCGATAAGAAGAGTGATTTAGAAATTAAGGAGAGTGATTAGTTGTGTGTATGGGAAATGATTCTGAAGATCAGTAACTGCATGCAATGGGGTCATTCCTGGTTTCATAAATGATAATAAATCCCCCATGACTTTGTGAAGGAGAGCAATTTTCAATTTTAAGGGGAGGGAAAAAAAACCTCGGTCGACATTCAGGTGAGCGGATCGCTCGCCTTAAAAAAAACAATGACTGCGTTAATACGGAACTAGTATCTTGATATCAGAGTCGTCCCCTTTAAATTGAGAATCATGGTTATGATGATATATATCTGCAGGCACTAGTCGGAAATCAAAGTTTTGCGGGTGATTACCGGGTCGATAGCAGAAGTAATAAGCCGCCATATTGGAATCTTGTAGAGAACACTTGTCACGTCTGCTAATTAATAGCAACCACGTTTATTGAATTTCTATCATCAACAGACGTGAAATCGGACGATTTTGGCGGGAAGAAGAATCTGCCAGGTCGTGAAAATAGAATAAATGATTAAGATCATTATCGTTTCAATTAAAGCTGTAGTCATTCGATGTTGATGGGATTTTTTTTTTCTATTTGGATGATTACTTTATTCAAAAAATTAAGGGAGTAAATCCGATCATACATTAACAAGACAAGACAAATGCATTTTATACAGCTGTTTCTGAGAGAGAGAGAGAGAGAGAGAGAGAGAGAGAGGGGGGGGAGACAGAGAGGGGGGGGGGAGTAATTTCGGGACTAACATTTGGTTCAATTTTATTTTAATAATTTGCTTGGGTAGGGGTCTTTAGCAGTGAGTGGAAACCGGATAAAACCAAATTTGTTAAAATTTATACAGGATGGCCAAAAAATGACAATAATTCATATAAATTAATATAAAAACTACGAAACATTATTAAAGTATGGGGGTTGGTTGGCCGAATGGTTAGCACGTGCGCGCGCTGTATCATACGGTCTGTCATTGAGTCAACTGGCGGGGTTTCGATTCCCCGGTTGTATCGGTACGTGACAAGGAGTAGGGTCGCCTGTCCAACCTCGTGGGTTTTCTCCGGGTCCGGTTTCCTCCCTCTGCTAAAGACCCCTACGCGCAAGCGAATTATTGAAATAAAATTGAACCATGTGTTAGCCCCGAAATGACCTAGTTTGTGTCGAGTGGACGTTAAACCCCATTTCTCTCTCTCTCCCCTCTCTCTGATTAAGGTATGGTATAATGGAAATTCTCCTATATCCGAATATATGGTTACGCATAATTTTTAATTTATCCAAATACTTTAAAGGGGGTAAGCCCGTTCATCGTACGTAACTAATGTACGAAAATTAAATGGAAGCTAGCTTTTTTTTCGCTTCTCTGGTTCTCTGCAGGTAGGTTGGGTCTGTCATCCAGATTGTCCGCTCATATGATGCCAAGTCTAATGCATTTTAACATTTACTCGACACAAACTTATTATGTAAATTCGTTCGGGACTAACATTTGGTTCAATTTTATTTCAAAAATTCTCTTGCGCGTAGGGGTCTTTAGCAGTGGGAGCAAACTGGAAACAACTAGAGAGCGAGAGAGAGAGAGAGAGAGAAAGAGAGAGAGAGAGAGAGAGCGTACGGTATTCAATTCATACCACACTTAAAGATAGGTTGCCAGGCAACAAAACATACGCCCACAGCAGCTAAATCGTCCGTGCGGTCTTCAAGGGTTGTCGCATATTTATTCTTTTGTAGGTAATTGGGGGCCTTTACAAGACAGTTCCATACAGATCAGATTATAAATTTTGTCGTTTGAGGGTTTACAAGGTTCTACAAACTGAAACAAGGGTCTCAACTCTGGACGTAATCTAAATAATTTAAATAATGCATATAAATTTCATACAGATCACATCATCACTTTTGTCATTCAAACGTTCACAATCGCCATAACTCTAGAAATTATTGACGGAAATTGGTGAAATTCAATAGACCTGTTTCACAAATTTAAATGATGCATATAAATTTCAATAGACCTGTTTCACAAATTTAAATGATGCATATAAATTTCATACATATCGGATGATAACTATCATCAATCAAGCATTAACAAGGTTTAACAAAGTGAAACAAGGGCAATAACTCTAGAAGTAATTATTGTAAATTGCTGAAATCCAATAGGCTTTTTCGTTTCACTAATTTAAATCATGCATATAAATTTCACAAAGATCGGGTGATAACTTTTTGCGTTAGAGCGTTCACAAGGATCAATAAAGTGAAACAAGGGCCATAATAAACATAAATTTCTGAAATTCAATAGGCTTCTCCGTTTCACTAATCTAAATAATGCATATAAATTTCACAAAGATCGAATGATAACTTTTGGCGTTGGAGCGTTCACAAGGTTCAATAAAGTGAAACAAGGGCCATAACTATAGACTTAATAAACGGAAATTGCTGAATTTCAATAGGCTTCTTCGTTTCACCAATTTAAATAATGCATGTAAATTTCACAAAGATCGGATGATAACTTTTGGGGTTAGAGCGTTCACAAGGTTAAACAAAGTGAAACAAGGGCCATAACTCTAAAAGTAATAAACGGAAATTGCTGAAATTCAATATGCTTCTTCGTTTCTCCAATCTAAATAATGCATATAAATTTCAGAACGATCGGATGATAACTTTTGACGTGAGAGCGTTCACAAGGATCAGTAAAGTGAAACACGGGCCATAACTCTAGACGTGATAAACGGAAATTGCCGAAATTCAATAGGCTTCTTCGTTTCAGTAATCTAAATAATGCATATAAATTTCAGAAAGATCGGATGATACCTTTGGCGTTAGAGCGTTCACAAGGTTCAATAAAGTGAAACAAGGGCCATAACTCTAGACGTAATAAACGGAAATTGTTGAAATTCAATAGGCTTCTTCGTTTTACTAACTTAAATATTGCATATAAATTTCACAAAGATCGTATGTTAACTTTTGGCATTAGAGCGTTCACAAGGTTCAACAAAGTGAAACAAGGGCCATATCTCTACACATTTCAATGTGGGCGTATAAAAATCACGTGTCAACAGAATATTCAAATCTCGTACGTAATAAAGAGAGAGAAAGAGAGAAATGGGGAGGAAACCGGAGGACCCGGAGAAAACCCACAAAGTTGGACAGGCGACCCTACTCCTTGTTACGTACAACCGGGGATTCGAAACTACGCCAGTTGACTCAATGAGAGGCCTTATGACACAGCGCGCATGTGCTAACCATTCGGCCATCCACCCCACCCCCACCCCCAACAACTAGAGAACTCCTGTCTACATATTCAAATCATAAAACAGTAAAAGCTGGGATAAGACGTCAATAATTCACACAAGATATTTTACAATTTTAATACAAGCTAACAATAATTCATACAAAATACCTGTTATATAAAATGCACGAAAAAAATGCGTATTAATTGTAAAAAAACATGGATAAAATGTAATATAATGGGAATTCTCCGATATCCGAATAGACTTAAAAATGCATTATTTAAGATATAGATAAAGAGCTGACAGGCCCTGTTAAAATAGTTTAAAAATTGATAATGAAAAATGAAAATTTCAGTCAAATTACTTTATTCTGAACGAAGTTATGGATGTTTGTAGTTTTGATAAGAATTGCGTAGTCTCGATTTCATTGCTACCATTATTATGACAATAAAAATGTCTCGATTATCCATTTTTAAATTAAATTATTAAATGGCAGTCCATTAAAATACACGACCATCCGATGGCATCGAGATTTAATTATGAGCTTGTCATGTTATTAAATGTCTAATTAATAATTTATATAACATTTGAAGCCAAAAAAAAGGACCTACAATAGGACGATTTAGCTCTGGTTTTAACCAGATTGAATTAACATGCTGCAAAGTTTTCTCCTGGATTTCAACAACAACAAAATAAAAAAAAAATAAAAAATTCTTATAAATGGTTCTGTACAACTATAATAGGCTTTCAGAGCAAATTTCGCTGCAGGAAACAAAAACAATTAACCTAGGCCTACTGCAAAGGTTTCTCCTGGACGTCAACAAACGAAAGTATCGTACAAATTCTTATCAATTATGCTGTACAAATAATAATTGAACTATAAGCTATATGAGAAAAACGCTGCAGGAAACGATTAACGTAGGCTTTCTGCAAAGTTTTCTCCTGGGTGCCAACAAAAAAATTTGGGACCAATGACGTCATTGCATGGGACTCATTGATATGACAAGGGACGTCACAATGACAATTGATATGGCAAGGGACGCCACTCTGATAATTGCTATGACAAGGGACATCACTCTGATAATTTGAACACGTTGCGGATGATTTGTGGATTAATAATAAAATTGATTTTTTGGAGTGGCTTAGTAATTCCGGATGAAAAAGAGCATTGTACAGTTATTGAACAATGACAGTGGATCCCGTATGGATTCCGTGTATTATGAACACATATGAGGTACCATCAGGCCCGTAGCCAGCTTGTTGGCTGTGGAGGGGCAGTGAGGTTTTTAGGGGGGGGGGGGGGCACCCGGCACAGTCTACAGTAGGTATTTTAGAGCTATAGTCGGCAAAATTTTTTTCGGGTGGGGGGGGGGCAAAACATTTTTTCAGGGGGCATTGTCCCCCCCCCCCCCCTTGCCCCCCGCTGGCTACGGGCCTGTGTACCGTACTGAACTAAAATCTGAAATAAGTTTTGGCCACCGATAAAAAAATAAATACTATCTTTGGTAATATATTCATGGACAGTTGCCATAAATAAGTATTTGAAGTCACAGTGATATTGATGTCACATTTGGTAAGTTTGTGGTTTAGCTTCCATATTGGATCGGTTATGCTTCACATTGTTTTCTGGGATTAGTCAGTGACTAGGTAACCTGAGACAAGCTTTTGAGATTTATTAAATATGGCCATTTTCCTGAGATACTGTTAACCTGGACCTGTTCCACGAAATTTTAACTAAGATAAAATCGAAATTTTAGTAATTTGATTGGATAATATTAGATTGATTTTAGTGCTTAGCCAATCAAAATTGAAGTATCTACTAAAATTTGGATTTTATCTTCAGTTAAGATTTCGAGAAACAGAACCCTGATACCAATGACTAACGAACCTAGGCCATTTACTAATGAAATTTGTTGCCATTATTATAAACTTATGTTTAGTATGTATAGTACAAGTGGTTAGAAATTATACAGTGGTCATCAATGTCGGACTGGCCAGGTTGTCAGCTTGTCCAATGGCAAGTGGGTCTCTGAGAAATTGGGCCGCCTTAGATATTAGACAATATATTTAAAACATAAATTATCAAAAAATATATAAAAATTATTAGCATGAAAATATTATAAAAGTTATATTATATCTTCAATTCTATTACGGGGTTATTAAAAATTAAATGTTAGAATTGTATTGGTGGGTGGGCCTCCTTTGTCTCCTGGCAACCAATATTTTCAGAACCAGTCCGCCACTGGTAGTCATTAATTAGCAGGGGCGTAACTAGCTGTTAAAGAAGTCACTACTTGTGTAGAAGCGTGACTTTGTATATAAGCTTAAGCATTTTGCTCACTTTGATGGAAGCGGACGTTAAATAAAGCTATAACATAATCAACTGCTGCTTGTGTATAAGCGTGACTAATTATAATGCACACCACTAATGAATACACAAATTTAGACAATAGTGATGTATAAAGTTTCATTTATAAAAGTACTTGCGGTTGACCCGGGCATAGCACGTGTCTGCCATGACCCGGAAGTAGCATAACTCCGAAACCGGAAGTGGTAGGTCATTTTAACACCAAATGTCAGCCTCGGGACAACCCTAGTGTATCCGCTAACCATGAACAGACAAACGACAGTCACAAATATTAGTATAGATTGTCTGTTTTCTGAGATTAGTCGGTGACATAATTAACTGTCGTTATCTGTTGGTAAAGTTTTCAACTTGTCACGTAACAAGTCATACCTTCCGTCATCTTTAGTGACAATATTAATATGACGTAAATTTGTGACAGGATGGGTTTGTATAGCTCCTATAGCTGCCTCTATACACTGTACAGTCTGGCCACCAGATACTCCTGAAAAATTACAAAAAAATATTGTACCTTATTTTTCCTTTCATTTCTTTAATTCTCAACTGTTCATAACACGGTAAGGGATTCTACCGCCAAGATTTGATCGCAATTACGATTTCTTATTGCCGACAGTAGGACAGTCGCAGCAAAGGTAAGGTGGGGTGGGGTGGGGCGGGGCAAAATTTTGTAAAATAGTCCCTTGAATCGGCCAGGTCACGTGTAAGTAACGGGTTTTAGATTTCAATCTTCACTGAAAATTATGGACCAATATCTGATTATAATCATTGGCACTAAAAACAAGTCAAATATGACTCTGGCTCGCTAGCCTGGAGGTCGCGTCTTCGATGCCTGCATTGGCCGAGAAATTTCATCGGGATTTTCCGACGTAGTTTCCCTTGTCAGTGGTGCAGGACGGAGAGCCTGACAAACACAGCTGTCTAGTCATTCGGATGAGACGAAAAACCAAGGCCCCGTGTATACATTCGCGTGCAGTTGGAATTCGATATAAGAGTTGGTCCGGGCAACATTTCCCCCATGGCACACTCTATGGTGTATGCCCGTCTTCATTAGCCCAGTCGAAGCAGAACAGTAGGACGTCAAACCCCATATCATTTCATTTTATCGTGAATTTTTTTTTAATTGTGGTTGTTTAAATCCGTTTAAATCTCAGCCATCTGATTATCTAGCGAGTTGATAATAGGCTTGTCATGTGAATAAATGTCTAAATAATAATTTGAGGTCACAATAAAGACCTGAAATAATCATATTAGCTCTTACATAATGCATCTTTAGGTTAGTTTGTCCAGACGGAAAGCTGTTACTGTCGACGCACAGCCACCCGCTGTAGTCTCTGCAAGTGTGCCTTACCTGAACCAAGAAGAGGAATCGTAATGGATTCATGTTTGTCTGTGTCGGCTGTGGACAATATCTGAGAATAAAGCTGCTGTAGTCGATCACCCCCACCCCCACCACAACCAGCACCAGCATCACCAGCATCGCTACCCCTATTCTCGACAGCAGCGCCATCAGCAGCATCATCAGCAACAGATGCAGCACCAGTAGCAACAGGAGCAGCAGCACTACCACCACCATCATCCTCATACTCATCATCATCCTCATCGTCGTCGTCGTCGTCGTCGTCACTATAATCATCATCTACAGCAGGAAGGGCAACAGCTGCCGCACCTCCACCATCTGTCTTTTGAGGAAAGGTTACTTGATAAATTTCTTTAAATTTCAAATTTCCAGGAAGTGTGAAATAGAGTTTCCAATCCTCCAGTTCTCCCTCCATTTCCATTAACGTCTCTAATGAGTCGGTGTATTGTCTCCCACCCTTTGCTTTAAGATACTTAGCTAGACCCCTCTTACTGCTTCCTTTCTTGTCATTACAGACCACCAGTATATCAGCGTGGACATCAACAACATCTTCATTGTACACAAACACAACCAGTCCATTAGGGATCCTTCTGTTGTAACTTTTTAGAGTATTCTTTCTCTTTGTCACTGAAAAAACAGTATCAACATTTTTAGCAAATACAACTAGTCCATTAGCAGTTCTTCTAGGGCAGTCTTTCCCAACCTGTATTTCCCATGCCCTACTTTTTGATAACAAAAAATCTGGTTCCCCACAACAGTTAAACAGACCCATAATTCAAATAAAAACTTAAAGTTCATGATGGGAATATACCTTTAGCAAAAGTATTTCTGATGAAATTCACTTGCGCATTCACACAAATAGAAATTAAAGAATTTATACAAATGCAGATACCTGTACCCCACTATCAGTCTAAACCGGTGCGACCTACGCCCCACTCAATTTTCTCAGGACCCACTGGTGAGGCGTACATCCACCTTGGAAATCACTGTTCAAGGGTATCTAAACGTTTTCTTTCTCTTAGTCAATGAAAGGACAATGTCAACATTTTTAGTAATCGGCATTCTTCGATAAATTCCGGTATTTCCGAGTATTTGAATTTATACTCGGACATCATGTGGACTGATGGTTAATACAGAAACTAAGATTGATGACTGGATAATCGTCGCTTTATCGGGCCCACTCTATGACACATCACTAAACAATCTACTAAGTTGGTAGAGGTAGGTTGAGTTCAATGGAACGTTGTTTCACCAAAACAAAGAGTTCGTTTCCTGTCATATGTGCCACGATGGTTTCCTATTTTTGAAACAGTAATTGCAGTTCGAACCCCGGTTTGGACAAAGACAACCTTTTATAAAACCTGCTTAAATTTACTTACCCACATTTTCTGTAGACTTCTCCTTGATCGCAGGCTTATATCGCTTTTGTCCATTTGGACCTCCTTTGCCTCTTTTAAAAACAGGTATCCCAAAAATTTCATTGTATATACCCTTCACAACATCTGTGTTTACGAACTGACTTACAACTGAAGAAACAAAATCGAAAGGATCTTCAGATATGGATGCGGTCTTCTGTTGGGTTTCTTTTGGAATTCTCCTGGCAACAGCAGTTGGGGCGGTGCCAACAGCTTTCGTAAGACCTTTACAGAGTTTCTTGATGATGGCCTCTTTATTCGCAACGATTTTAATGGTTCTGATCGTCTTGGCTTCATGGTGTTTCAACGTGGTTATGAAAGCTTCTATACATTGGTCGACTGGTCCTGAAAATACCCAACAAAAACTAAAATACCAAACAAAAACTACAATATTATTAATCGAGCATTTGAGAGAGAGAGAGAGGGGAGAGAGAGAGAGAGAGAGAGAGAGAGAGAGGTTTCTTTAGCTAAAGAAAAAACAATTACTTACCTAAAGAAAAACCAATAACTTACCTGTAATATCGATTACTATCTGTAATATCGATTACTCATCTATAATAGATTACCCATCTATAATAGATTACTCATCTATAATATCGATTACTTACCGGAAAATCGATTACTTACCTTTACCCAAAAATCGATTACTTACCTATATTAATGAATGGAAATTATCAAATCGATTACTTACCTATACCAGTGATTGGAAATGTAATCGAATCACGTTTTTCATCATCAGCTGTAGTTAAAATTGTACTGTATAATATCTGTAGATTTGATAACCATTCTTCGGTATTCTCTTCATCTAATTCTGGTATTACTGCCTAGTAGAAATTAAATAAAATGAAATGAAATTGTGTTCAACTTCGTACTGTTCTGCTCCGATTGGGCTAATGAAGACTGATATACGCCTACAGTGTGCTATGAGGAAATTTTTTCCATGATTTCAGATCTTTTAGTGCTTCCAGCGACTCAGTATAATCTGTTTCAATGCCATTTAGTAATTGAACTGGAGTATACAGGAATACAATTACTGCTTATTACTGAGTGACGTTTCGACTAGGCTTCTCTAGTTATTATCAAGCAATGATAAAATACGAAAATACAACAGGACAATATATACATGTACACGGCAACACTTAGTTAATGCTGACCAACCAGAAATACCCCTTAATTACATTACATTTTTCGGGTTGGTCAGCATTAACTAAGTACTGTTGTGTACATGTATATATTTAATCTGTTTTACAGAGAATTACGAAAGTCTTCTTATATCTCTGTAAAAGATGACCGCCTTCAACACGTGCTGTCACAGCACACAGCGTCAATCATTGGCTGAATGGCGCGTGCATTGTTTACATAAGACGTTACTGCTTCGGGTAGAATGCTGCCTTTTAGTCATTTAAATATCCATTTACACTAATTAGGAAATAATTTTTACCTACAAATACGTCAAACGTCTTTATTTATTTTTCTAATACATAAAAAATATATTTTAGAATTTATTTTGTGGGTTGAAAAAAGTTAATATTTGAGACTCATTAAGTCGCATTGATGTCATCCTTATCAGTGATTGTAGAGGCCTAGCGAATATTCACTGCTGATCGGTGTGGTACATATTGTCTTGTCATATTTTATCATTGCTTGATAATGACTAAAGAAGCCTAGTCGCTCAGTAATAAGCAGTAATTGTATTCCATAGAATTGTCACCTGTATACTCGGTATAATCTCGACAAAATCGGCTTCATGATAACGAAGTTTGATCCGGGGGGTTGGATGGCCTAATGATGAGCACGTGCGCGCTCCATCATAAGGCCTGTCATTGAGTCAACTGGCGTGGTTTTGAATCACCGGTTGTACGTGACAAGGAGTAGGGTCGCCTGTCCAACCTCGTGGGTTTTCTCCGGTTCCTCCGGTTTCCTCCCACTGCTAAAGACCCCTACGCGCAAGCAAGTTTGTGTCGAGTGGACGTTAAACTCTCTCTCTCTCTCTCTCTCTCTCTCTCTCTCTCTCGAAGTTTGACTGTATTTTAAAATTTACCTGGTATACGAGATGGAATTGAAGATTGCCTGCTAGAGTGAAGTAAACTTTCCATGATTCTAGATCTCCCTCTTCTAGTGATTTCAGCGACTGGATATAATCTCTACCACCGACTTGTTTTAAATGTTTATCTATACGACCCTGATATTTGGTTGTATTATATTTATAACAGACCAGAATATCAGATGATATATTAACGATGTCATCATCATATAGAGTTATAACCATACCATTGGGTAAGTTTTGTTTATATAACGCCCCGTCAGCATCTTCTTCTGTAACCAAATAAATAAAAATAATGGTTATAATAAAGAGAGAGAGAGAGAGAGAGAGGGAGGGGGGGAGAGAGAGACACACACACAAATATCGAAATATCGAACCCCTCCAAGATCTTTTGACCCTTAACCTTTAGTTTCATCTAGAGGGTCCGCAACTAAATGTGTAAACGGTAGGGACTTTTTTGATGGGAAGTTTCGGTCTGTTTTTCACGACATTTAAACTCATCCGCTGCCGTTGTGTGATGAAAATATAATTCAACGGTATTTGAAATCGAATAAAAATTGTGACCTCTAGATCGTTCACACAATAAAATGCTATTTTTCGTAAAATCAAGGGCAATAATTCAAGAAGTTACAATCCGATGCGTGCGAGAATCTAACCCATTCGGTACCTTTGGGATATTTTAAGTTTCCTCAAAATTAGATACAATATTAAACTGTGACTAAATGAGCGAGATTATACAATAACTGGTCTGAATCCGATTCAAGGGCAAATAACTCGTCCTCAAACGATTCTTTATCAGTACTTTGAGAGAGAGAGACAGAGAGAGAGAGCGGGGGGGGGGGATTTAAAGTCCACTCGACACAAACTAGGTCATTTCGGGACTAACATATGGTTTAATTTTATTTACATAATTCGCTTGCGCGTAGGGGTCTTTAGCCGTGGGAGGAAACCGGAGGACCCGGGGAAAACCCACGAGATTGGACAGGCGACCGTACTCTATGCCACGTACAACCGGGGATTCGAAACCACGCCAGTCGACTCAATGACAGACTGTATGGTACAGCGCGCGCACGCTAACCATTCAGCCATCAAAACCCCCTTCTTTATCAGTACTTTTAGAATATTACATTACAGGCGTCTGTGTACGTAACTTGTACAGTACCTGAACTTGTAGTTAGTTCATCTTCTACTTCTTCTCCATTTTGTTCCGTGTCTGTGTTAAAGAATTCCACCCCCATTTTCTCATTCATTGTCCCCTTAATGCCAGGCATGTCAATCAAATCTGGAACCTTTCGCCCAAGGTACGTACAAATCTCTACAATGGTGTCAATCTTGCTCTGTCCACCACAAGGCGTACTGTCAGTTGAATACCTTAAATCGAGAATTTCAAATTTTCTAAGAAAGTCAAAACATAATTATTTCTATGTCTTTTGCTCAATAGGTTATCAAATCACTATTATACGATCATGGGCATTATTTCCCACCCTTAAAAATCTATGACACAGGAAATAACAACACAATTACCTCCCCTGTTTTGCTATTGACAACATAGGCCAGCCATTTTCCAACGTTGGAATTTGAAGTTAAAAATGATATTTTTGCCACTTTCTCAGCTGGCAATAGCGAATTATAGGATTAATAGGATTATTCTTTAACAAGGTAGGACTGTTTATGGATACCATCTATTTTAAGGCTTTATTTTAATACATTTTAAAAATATAACTTGAAAATTTGCAATTTCCGCTTTAAAAAGAGAGAGTGAGAGAAATGGGGTTTAACGTCCACTCGACACAAACTAGGTCATTTCGAGACTAACACATGGTTCAATTTTATTTCAATCACTCGCTTGCGCGTAGGGGTCTTTAGCAGTGGGAGGAAACCGAAGGACCAGGAGAAAACCCACGAGGTTGGACAGGCGACCCTACTCCTTGTCACGTACAACCGGGGAATCGAAACTCCGCCATGAATAACTTTAAGATGGAATATGTAAGATTTAGATAAAGAGCTCACACTTGTCACTATAAAATTTAAACAATAGATAATGAAAGGGAATATGTTGAAAATTTCAGACAAATAACTTCACTCTGATCTTAGCGACGTTAGGGCTGTTTGGAGAATAGAGGAGTCTCGAATGCCATTGCTACCGTTGGTTTATTTCCCATGAAGGCGCAGTTATTGATCGTAACGGATTAAAGGAGGTCCACTATCGACGCCTTCGTGGGGATCCAGCTTTCGGGGATTAAAATGGATTAAAAATGTAACAATGGAGTTATAGATTGTTATGATAAGAATTTACACTTTCACAATCCCCAATGTGACTAATTAACTAACATTTTAACATGTTTGGAATATGACTTTAAGAAATAAAAACAAATTAATTTAATTTCATCGAATAAGACACCCTGTCTAAATACTCGACTAAAGTTAATTCCTCTTCTTCTTGTCTACTTTTTAATTCCTGGAACTGGCTTTGGATTTGGGCAAATTTATGTATCTTGGTGATTAAGATTCATATTGAATACTTGGGTGATATTTTGATGTTCATCATTAGTTGTCAATTGGTGAATAAAATTCAGAGTCAACATAAATTATTCATAACATCTTTAACACCGTTAATAATTGGGTCCTAAACACAACATGCATGCCTCTCTTCAAACGAAAGCTGACAAGTCCATATCTGCGCCTTCGAGGGAAGGATTAATTTTGGTCACGCTCTGTAACGGCGCCGTCCTTTGAATACACCCTACCGTTGTTACGATTGTAAACATAGTCTTGATTATCCATTTTTCAATTAAATCATTAACTGATGATGTCTCTTGGACACCATACAGCGTGATATGATGGCAATTTTACCTGGAAAGCAGCGCTACCACCTACTCGCATTACGAATTCAAAGGTTCTTAACCGTGCACGCCAATGTGTACACGGCATTCAAAAGGAGTGGTATTCAAAATAAGTATAAAACAATACCTTAAACTTTTGAGATCTTGTCTTAGTTTTGACAACAGTTCTACGTCATCGGATACAATGTTGACACCAGATAAATTCTTTACGTTATGGTTTTGTAGGGCATCAATGGCAGCTTCTACACACTGGTCAGCTGGTCCTCTAGCAAAATCTACAAGTACAACACATAGAAATAGAGAATCCCTCGCCCTAACCCCGGGATAGTGGAAAAAACTCATTTTTAGAAAATTCAATCATTAGTAGGAAACACCCTAACGTGGCTCTCGCCCGAGAGCCTTAAATGTGTTCTTCTTTCTTCAGAAACAAAAACAACAGAATACCACAAGTGACCGCACCCCCCACCCCCAGCGAAATCAACCGTGTATATAAATCTAATGTATTGTATGTATGTATGTATGTATGTATGTATGTATATAAATATAAAATTAGGAAATATCACGAACCAAATTTTCATCATCTTAGGTCAGTGTTTACATGAAGATCTGGTCAGTTGTAGTGGGAGGTCGCGTCAGGGGTCATACGAGCGGCTTTTGGCCCTATGACGTCAGACATTTGATTAAACAATCAGCGTTGATGTTTCTAGTAGAATACCCACAGTTCCGTGCATCGCACGTCAAGAACTCTCTGCAACAGACCGTTTCATTGGCTAATCCCTCACATCAACCAAAATTCGGGTTATATAACAACTCTTCCAGATCCTAGTGTAGTAAAGACAAGTAAAACGAGATTTGACAGTTGGAATTAGGCCATAGTGCCGCTGTCCTGGCAAAATTTTTGTATGGCGTATACCGGTCTTCATTAGCCCATTCGGAGCAGAACAGTAGGACGTTAAACCCAATTTCATTTAGAACTTACCTGAACCGATCAGTGGGAGAGTGACAGTCACGTGCTTCTCTTTATCGGCTCGTGTTAAAATCTTCGAATATAGGTCCTCTAGATTTGATAGCCAGGACTGCATACCACCGGACGGGCAGGATGGTATTTTTACTTGATAAACACATTTGAACTTCAAATCTCCTGCAAAGGTCTGATACACCCCCCAATCTTTCAAACTGCTTTTCTTTTTATACAATTCTCTTAGTGACAGACAATAATCAGGACCTGCTCGTGCTCGGATCTTTTTCGCGATTTTTCCTTCCATCGATCCCGTTCCATAGTTACTGCAAACTAGAACGTCAGCATGCACGGCTAGTAAATCTCCATAGACCACTGAGACGTCCAGACCATTTGCTAAGGTCTGTTGACACAACCATCGCACGTCATTATACTGCTGTTTTGGTTCATCTAGAAATGATCCAGCTGAAATATAGATTTGTAATAATTATCAGAATAACGAGTAAACACACCATATCTGTAGTTATGCCCCCTTTCCCGAAAACCGTGTGAGCGCGATATCTGTAGTTTTTAATAGATTTGGCCAAATGTAAACAAATAACAAATCACAATACATTCTATCAATGAATGTAACCTATCGACAGGTGAGAGAGAGAGAAATGGGGTTTAACGTCCACTCGACACAAACTAGGTCATTTCGGGACTAACATAATATGGTTTAATTTTATTTCAATAATTCGCTTGCGCATAGGGGTCTTTAGGAGTGGGAGGAAACCGGAGGACCCGGAGAAAACCCACGAGGTTGAACAGGCGACCCTACTCCTTGTCACGTACAACCGGGGATTCGAAACCACGCCAGTCGACTCAATGACAGACTTTATGATACAGCGCGCGCACGCTAACCATTCAGCGTCTGTGTACGGAGACGCAGTGGTTCAGTAAGTAATTAGACGCTTGCTCGCTAGCCTGGAGGTCCCAGGTTCGCTCCCGATGTTGGGCGAGAAAGTTTTTCGAGATTTTCCGGCATGACTTCCCAGTGTCAGTGTTGCAGGAGAGCTGTCTAGTTATTCGGGTGTGATGAAAAACCGAGGTCCCGTGTACCTATAAGCGTGCGCATAAAAGATCCCTTGTCAGTTGGAATTTGAAATAAGAGTAGGCCGTAGCGCCGCTGTCCGGGCAAAATTTACCTCACCGCACACTGTGTGACGTATGCCCGTCTTCATTATTTCAGCAGGAGCAAAAATGTAGGACGCTAAACCACGTTTCATTTAATGTCTGTGTAATTTGCAATCTAAATTATCCTGTTTCGTGGCTTTGATTGGTCGGTTGTCAAACTAGGTAGACGAATAAAAACAATTGAAGACAATTTTAGTTGATGTGGCAATGGTTCATGAGCTAATGATGTTCGTTACCATTGCTTCGGGAATATGTAAACATACCTGTGGGTTCAAGGCGTAGCAATGCCTGAGTGAAGTTGTTGTCATGGAGACACGATATAAACTTGTTATAGGCGCCGGGTCCGCAGCCTAAAAGAGTCCTCAGTATCGCCTTAGCCATGGCTCGTGATCCGTTTTTAGCCTCCTTTGTGATCTTTTGTACGTCATCATTGTCTATGACGTTTTTTGAATATAATGAGTCGATGATTGCGTCGGGTCGGCATGCCAGTTCGTTTACCAAGATCGGAAAATGTGTCTGTATTTTATACTCCTCTGGTAGAACACCACGAGTAGGAACTTCTCTGTCTGGTGGGCGTCGGACATCTTGAAAATCAATGTCTGAAGACATACCACCTTCAGCCATATCTTAAAGGGCGTACAACTCTGTTCTTTCGAACCTTAAAAAAACGAAATAAATGAAATGAAATGGGGTTTAACGTCCGACTGTTTTGCTCCGAACTGGGCTAATGAAGACGGGCATACGCCATACAGTGTGCTATGAGGGAAATTTTGCCCGGACAGCGGCACTACGGCCTACTCTTATATCGAATTCCAACTGTCAAGGGAACTTTTACGTGCACGCCAATGTGTACACGGGACCTCGGTTTTTCGTCTCATCCGAATGACTAGACAGCTGTCCTTGTCAGGCCCTCCGTCCTGCATCACTGACAAGGGGGAACCACTCCGGGAAATCCGGATGAACTTTCTCGGCCAATGCAGGGATCGAAAACCCGACCTCCAGGCTAGCCAGCCACTTCAAAAAACGAAAAAGGGTCTAAAAGCAAAGGGGGATGGATAATGTTGTGGTTTAACGCGTGTGCGTGAAATTACAAGGTCTGTCATTGAGTCAAGTGGTGTGGTTTCGATTCCCCATTTGTACGTGACAAGGAGTAGCGTCGCCTGACCAACCTCGTGGATATTCTTTGGGCCCCCCGGTTTCCTTCCACTGCTAAAGACCCCAACGCGCAATGTTCCTGTTCCGGTGTGACTGACCGCAGAGCCTCAAAATGTACAGGCCCCCGCCCTCTTTACTGCACACGCGAGTGTCCTGGTGGTTAAGGTCATTGCTGTGAGCCAATTCTTGTGACCCAGAGGATTAGAAAATGGGATAGAATCTAGAGATCTGCCTGTCAATTCTGTCTGTTTTGTGAGAGTTAGTATAAGACCACAGCGGAGTGGAAGAATAATGTCATATTGGAATCGAGCGATTATGGCGCGAAAAAATTTCAGTTAGCGACGCATAATATCTCTACAGAGCCTTTAATTTTTTGGGACCTGACCCCACCCCGCCACCTTGCCACTGAGGTTAGCAGTCAACACAATAAAATGTGGCCCTGGGAAAACCTTAATATCCTAATTGTGTCCATCCCTAAATCATTAGAAGAAAGGGGTGGGGGGCGAGGGACCTGAGTCAATAAATATATTTGGCTAACACTCGATACAATCAATCGTGGCTGCATACTTTACAGGTTAATATCGTATATGAAATGAAATGAAATGAAATGGGGTTTAACGTCCGACTGTTCTGCTCCTAAACTGGGCTAATGAAGACGATAATACACCATACAGTGTGCTATGAGGGAAATTTATCCCGGGCAGCGGCGCTACGGCCTACTCTTATATCGAATTCTAGCTGCTAAGGGATCTCTTACGTGCACGCCAAGTTGTACACGGGACCTCGGTTTTTCGTCCTATCCGAACGACTAGACAGCTGTCCTTGTCAGGCCCTCCGTCCTGCATCACTGACATTAGCCCAGTCGGAGCAGAACAGTAGGACGTTAAACTCCATTTCACTTCATTCATTTTACACTTAACACAAGAAATCGTGACTGCGCACTTGAGAAATTAGTTTCATACAAATTTAAAATCTCCGGGAAAACCCTGTACTATCTTATCAGGTCGCTGAAGGTCAAGGGCGTATTTAAAATAGTTGGGCCAATATAAATCACCCGAACAGTTCATTTTAAAATAGACTATGACTCATTTCTGTGTTTACGTATACAAAGCAAGGGGTGAATTTTGTCATAGCAGCGACCGAATTCCACCTTGCATTTTGAAGCTCGGCTTTGTGATTCTTTGGAATCTACACCAACAAAATGATGTAAAGATGGAGAGAGAGAAAGAGAGAGAGAGAGAGAGAGAGAGAGAGAGAGAGAGGGGGGGGGTCATTTCGAGACTAATATATAGTTAATCTTTATTCTACTAATTCGGGTAGGACCCGCCGAAAACCCACGAGGTTGGACAGGCGACCCCTACTCCTTGTCACATAACAGCTGGGAATCGCAACCACGCCATTTGACTCAATGACAGACCTTCTGATCCAACGCGCACGCGTTAACGATTCGGCGCCCCCTCCCCCCTTAATTAAATCAACCTGTTAGATTTGTAATAAACAACAACGTCATTACGTAAACCCGCCATATAGTATAATCGATACAACTCATCACTGTATTCCAGGCTATCGTGACCTAAATACGTTTAGTCGATTTTATACACTGAGAAAAGCGATTAAATTTAACCCTCTTATGTTTGTTGTCAGAGTGAATGTCAATTCGATAGCCCAAATAAACTTTCTCTCCTGACAACTGACAAAAACCGCGTTCACTCCCCGATTTTTAACCCTGTAGCGTCCATTACTGGTAATTTTCCACACTGGTGGTTATTTGTAAACAAGAAGATATAACATATCATAGGATCTAATTACAAAAAATAACAATTACCTGTAATAGTAAACCATTCCTTCTATTTACTGTTACAGTCTGTTAAAAAACACTTACCTGTAATAGTTAACTATTCCTTCTTGCATATTATACTGTACTGATATTACAATACCCGTTTATCTGTGTCAGTTCTAATTTTAGCTATTTGTAGAAACCCATATTCTCTGGGAATAACGCTGATATGGAGCGCAGTAAGGGACACAAAATAAAATAATGTGTGTGTGTGTGTGTGTGTGTGTGTGTGTGAGAGAGAGAGAGAGAGAGAGAGAGAGAGAGAGACAACAATCACTGGCTTACGAAGAGTGTTATATGAGTGTTCGATATAAAAACACTAATTATAACACAGAGAGAGAGAGAGAGAGAGAGAGAGAGCCTAAAAGAGTCCTTAATATCGCCTTAGCCATGGCTCGTGATCCGTTTTTAGCCTCCTTTGTGATCTTCTGTACGTCATCCTTGTCTATGATGCCATCGAGAGTTGATTATGGTCTGGATAAGTTAATTAATGTCTAATTGATAATTTAGATAACATTTCAGGCCTAGTGAAAGACCTGCAATAGGCAGATTTAGCTCTTTCATAAGGAATGTTTAAGCTATGTGCAGTACAGTTTGGGGTCAGTCTAATTGGAAATTAAGGGAGTTATAGGCCAGTAACTTTACTTTTTTGTAGTCAAGTGACTTCAAAACTTGCTGAAAGGAAGGCCTTAGAACGATCCACTACTGTAGCTGGAGCATGCCGGAAGACATTAGTAGTGGAACCATTTCTAATTTTATGGGTGATCAAGCAAAACAAACCCTGTTGAAGGAGCTTTCTGTAGATTTCCCTGGGAGTGCGGTTGGGCCACGGAGGATACACAGACAACTGACCCCTCCACACACACACACACTCGTCTTGACTAGGCCCTGGGAAAGAAAACTGTACGACTTTGAACAAACAGACCCAGGCCACGAAGCTGTTTCTGGCTATATATATAAAAATGTAATTGTATTAACTATATCAACGTAAGAACTAGACTAAATAGAAAAAATATAAAATGTCTGTAGTAGGCCTAACCAATACTTACTCTAAGACATAAGTGCACCATATGTCGTGCCAAGTGGAATAGCCCAAAGACTCGCAGCGTTGGCCATATTGTTGTTCACATTATGGAGCCCTAGGCTTAGGCGACTTGCATCATGAAGCACATGAGTATGACACAGATGTGACTGTGAATATTCCAGATCACTTAGAACTTCACAATGTGTTGAATACCATAAATGATCGTCTATGGGCATTCTTAGTACGTCAGGTACCATCCTAGGGACTCTTAAATCGTATCTCTCCAGTATTCAAGCCCTGCCGAATTCAATTTCAACAATGGTCACTGTTAAACATACAGAAATTATGTTAATGACTGTTTCGCGCGTTTTCAACTAAAGGGAGATAACCCATATTAGACTAGTGTACAATGGATGCAGACCACAAAAGTTTTACCGATTGATCTCCCATCTCTGGCTTTCTCCCAAAATTACTGTTAAAAGACAGATCTATATTTCGTTTCGTTTTTTTTATACTTTCGGTGGCCTATACTACATGAAGATATCACAAGTTGTACTATAAGGTCGTGTCAGGGGGTCATACGAGCGGCCTTTGACCCTATGACTTCAGACATTGATTAACATTTCAGCATTGGTGTTATTAGTGGATTACCAAGGATTAACAGACCGTTTCATTGGCTAATAGCTCACATCATTCAGAACACGCCAACGATAACAACTCTTCCTGATCCCAGTGTAGTAAAGACAAGTAAAACGAAATTTTGAACTATAAAAAACGAAACGAAATAGGATCTGTGTTTTAATCAGATTGGTTTTAACGAGGAAGTAGATGGTATACTTGGAATTCGAGTTAATCTAAGTAACATATAATTGATTTCTACTGAGATTTGAGACTATATAAGGACGGAGGGCCTAACAAGGACAGCTATCTAGTCGTTCGGGTGGGACGAAAAACCGAGGTCCCGTGTAAACATGAGCGTGCACGTAAAAGATCCCTTGACAGTTGGAATTCGATATAAGAGTAGGCCGCAGCGCCGCTGTCCGGACACAATTTCCCTCATAGAACACTGTATGGCGTATGCACGTCTTCATTAGCCCAGTCGGGGCAGAAAAGTAGGACGTTAAACCCCATTTCATTTCATTTAATGTTAATATACATATTAATTAATTCAGTAATTCTAATAGTAAGTGTGAGTGTGGGGGGGGGGGGCTGCTCCACACACAATTGCACAATACGCAGAAATTACAAACAAACGTACATCTATCTATCTATCTATCTATCTATCTATCTATCTATCTATCTACTAATATTTGTGACTGTCGTTTATCTGTCTGTTTGTCTGTCTGTCTGTTTGGGGTTGGCGGCTACACTAGGTCTGCCCCGAGTCTGAAATTTGGGGTATAGGGGTAGCTCGGACCGGGGAGTAACATAGGCCAGGTGGCGTTAGTCTACCACTTCCGGTTTCGGGGTTATGACCCCCGAGCGAAGCCGGGCATTCTTCTAGTATAATGCCCATTGCACATCCCTCAATAACGTCGCTTGGTTGTCAATTAATTGTTTCTGAGGATTTGGTGATGGAGGGGGATGGTACGGTGGGGATGTGGGCCTTTTTTGGTTTTCATTAATTAATTGTTTCCGAGAATGTGGAGATTCTGTTTATGATGGCCATAATATAGTCGTTTTTTAACTCTATGCAAAGTGTGGGTGTGGTCTGGTGGCCATGTAAAATAGAAATGAAATGGGGTTTAACGTCCGATGTTATGGGGGAAATATTGTTAGGATAGCAGTATTTCTGCCTTCCCCGTAAAATATAGAACGGGCAATATTAGTTTCAACATTGACACATAACATGGACTTCCTTGTAATTATAAAATCACCAATGTTCAAAATAAAAGGGCCAGTGTGTCAATGCCCTCCCGTGCACTCTCTGGGGATAAAACTCAACGATGGTCTAAACCTAGCTCACATTCCTTGTTGGTGTGTGAACGATCCAAATTCAATATAAAAGTAGGCAGTTAAGCTACTGCTAGGGCACAATTTCCGTCGCAGCACACCGCATGGCGTATAAATGTCTTCATTAGCCCAGTCGTAGCACACCGCATGGCGTATAAATGTCTACATTAACCCAGTCGTAGCACACGGCATGGCGTATAAATGTCTACATTAACCCAGTCGTAGCACACCGCATGGCGTATAAATGTCTTCATTAGCCCAGTCGTAGCACACCGCATGACGTATAAATGTCTACATTAACCCAGTCGTAGCACACCGCATGGCGTATAAATGTCTACATTAACCCAGTTGTAGCACATCGCATGGCGTATAAATGTCTACATTAACCCAGTCGTAGCACACCGCATGACGTGTAAATGTTTACATTAGCCCAGTCGTAGCACACCGCATGACGTATAAATGTCTACATTAACCCAGTCGTAGCACACCGCATGGCGTATAAATGTCTACATTATCCCAGTCTTAGCACACCGCATGGTGTATAAATGTCTACATTATCCCAGTCGTAGCACATCGCATGACGTATAAATGTCTACATTAGCCCAGTCGTAGCACACCGCATGGCGTATAAATGTCTACATTAACCCAGTCGTAGCACACCGCATGGCGTGTTACCGTCTACTTTATCATTTCGGGGGAGCCACGGTGGCTCAGTGGGTAGGACGTAGACTCGCTAACCCCGGGGTCCTATGATTAATCTCTGCGTTGGTCAAGAAAGTTTATCGGGATTTTTCCGGCGTGGTTCCCCCTTGTCAATGACGTAGAACGGAGGGACAGCTGTCTAGTTGTTCAGGTGGGACGAAAAACCGAGGTCCCGTGTACACATTGTCGTGCACGTAAAAGAACCCTTGACAGTTGGAATTGGAAATAAGAGTAGGCCGCTGTCTGGGCTAAATTTCCCCCATAGCACACGGCAGTGACGTGCACGTGAAAGATAACTTGACAGTTGGAATTCGAAATAAGAGTAGGCCGCAGCGCCGCTGTCCGGGCAAAATTTTCCTCATAGCACACTGTTTGTCGTATGCCTGTCTTTATTAGCCCAGTAGGGGCAGAACAATAGGACGTTAAACCCCATTTCATTTCATCTGCTTCCTTTTTCATTTCAATGATCAAGAAATCTGACTGAAGTAAACAACGAGAACCATGACTGTGTCATCATTTATAAAAAGTGAGTTACCAAGGTAGAGCGTGTCATCATTTATAAAAAGTGAGTTACCAAGGTAGAGATGTCACTTTAAGCGAACCATTTACAAATTCATCACATAACCTATAGTTTGAAAACAAATATTTTTTAAAAAATAGTTGAAGATAAGTGAATACGTGACCTCGTATACGGGTTAACTAAACAACAGGAATATTAAACCACTGGGACGTGTACTGATGTAAAATGGCGTAACAATTATCTAGATTGATGTGAAATTCTATAATATTTTGTTTTAGTAAAAAATGTATTCTGTAATATTTCACACCAACAAAAAAAAATAAAATAAAAAGAGAGAGAGAGAGAGAGAGAGAGAGAGAGAGAGAGAGAGAGATATTCTTAATTTTTATTTTAGTAAAAAATGTATTTTGTAAAATTTCACACCAACATTTGGGTGCCTATTGACTTTGTTTGTGGTATCATTTGACGGTCAATTCAATTTGTTCTTATAATGTCTGAATTCTGCATGAGTAATTGAGTTATGCCATCAGAGAGAGAGAGGGGAGAGAGAGAGACAGATAGAGGGGGGCGAGGTCCAAGATCTTTTGACCCCTAACCCTGAGTTTAATCAAGATGGTCCACAACCGTGGCACATGTACATGCATTACATGCTTTGCAACTATTTGCGTAAACGGTGGGGACTATTTTGATGGGAAGTTTCGGACAGTTTTTCACGAATTTCAAACGGGACTATTTTGATGGGAAATGAGAGAGAGAGAGAGAGAGAGAGAGGGAGAGAGAGAGAGAGAGAGAGAGAAGCTTTATTCTGAGCGAAGGTTCGTGTGTTTGAAGTTTTGACATGGCGGCGCCATTGCTACGATAATAAACTGATAAACAAAGTCTCAAGTATCCATCCTAACGTGAAATGTTCTAG